TGACAGATGGCCATCTAGCCTCTGTTTTAAATCTTGCAAGGAAGGAGCTTCCACTGGATGTGTGAGGAGAGAACTGAACATCAAATTTCTATAATCATCCTCATCCTCTCATTACTCAATACAGTAAAGTCTCACAAACAGGCTGGCAGAACGTTTGATAAGTGAAAATGTTATGTAGTAATGGCTGTATTTACTAATTTAGCACCAAAACAGACAAGGGAGTTACGGATGGATGGGAGTTTCTCAGGAGTGAAATACTCAAGGCGCAATTGCAAACAGTGCCAACAAAGAGGAAAAATAGGACAAGTGCAAAGAAGCCAGAATGGATGTCCAAAGAACTTCTAACTGTGCTAAGACACAAAAGAGACATGCACAAGAAGTGGAAAAAGGGAGAAATCACCAAAGAAGAATTCAAACAAATAGCCAACACCTGTAGGGAAAAGGTCTACAAGGCTAAAGCACAAAATGAGCTCAGGCTTGCCAGGGACATTAAAAACAATAAAAAGGGCTTTTTTCTTATGTCAGTAGAAAAAGGAAGAACAAGGAGGTGATAGGGCCTCTTTGACAAGAAGATGGGGCAATGCTGACTGGGGATAGGGAAAAGGCAGAACTACATAATGCCTTCTTTGCCTCGGTCTTCTCACAAAAAGAAAGTCATCTTCAACCTCAGCAAGATGGAGTGGATGAGGGATTAGAGCACATCCAACCCCAAATTGGGAAACAAGTCGTCCAGGAATACCTGGCCGCTCTAAACGAGTTCAAGTCCCCAGGGCCAGATCAACTACACTCAAGAGTATTGAAGGAACTAGCGGAAGTCATTTTGGAACCGTTGGCAATCATCTTTGAGAGTTCTTGGAGAACAGGAGAAGTTCCAGCAGATTGGAGGAGGGCCAGTGTGGTCCCAATCTTCAAGAAGGGAAAAAAGGATGACCCAAACTATTACTGTCCGGTCAGTCTCACGTTGATACCAGGCAAAATTCTGGAAAAGATTGTTAAGGAAGTGGTCTGCAAACCCATGTGGTCTCTTCCAACTCTATGATTCTATGATTCTAAGGGTATTGAAATTGTGGATCCGGGCAGGAGGCAGACTGCGTTGGATAATACAGAACATTGGATGAGCGAAGGCTGGATAAGTGAGACTCTACTGTAGTTAAAACACATCGCCATACATTTGCAAATGACACTAATACCCTACAGGACAGAATCAGGATCCAAAAGGGCCTTTTCAGGTAATAGATCTGGGTCAAAACTAACCGAAAATGCATGTCAAGAGTGAGAAGACGAGGCCTTCTTTTGTCTTTCCCAATCTTCTTTATGTTGCAAGAGACTTCCTGGCCTCCCCCTTTCCTCCTCCAGCCCCATTTCCTACCCTGTTTCTCCTGTCTGACATCAGAATGGACTGCCTGCCTTTGTCTTTTGTGCGCCTTTTGTGTGTCTTTCAAAACAGGGTTGCCAAGTCGCGGTTGTTGCTAGGGTCATGTTTAATGGGATTGTGTTTCTACCGGAGACCCTGCTCTAGTCAAGGAAAGGGGGGCAGGCGAGGGACGCCAGACAGAAGGGCGAAAAGGAGGGAGCAACGGGGGTTCCCTCCCTTTAATTAAAATCTGTCAGCTGGATTTAATCTATTTGGGACAATGGAGCCGTTTCCTCGGGGTCAGGGAGAGAGGGGTGGGATTTTGGAGCTCAAAATGAGGGGTCTTCATCCTATCTCTCTTTTGTTTACATTCCTGAAGTTTGAGTTTCCCAAATGGACTTGTTTCGAGAAAGTATCACATCCCTTCGATTGAAACCAATGGGTCAGGGAGAGAGGGGTGAGATTTTGGAGCTCAAAACAATAGGATTCCATCCTCTCTCCCTTTTGTTTACTTTCCCGAAGTTTGAGTTTCCCAAATGGAATTGTTTCGAGAAAGTATCACATCTCTTCTATTGAAACCAATGGGTCAGGGAAAGAGGGGTGGGATTTTGGAGCTCAAAATGATAGGACTCCATCCTCTCTCCCTTTTGTTTACTTTCCCGAACGTTGAGTTTCCCAAATGGCAAAGTGGTTTCGAAAAGGTATCACATCTCTTTTATTGAAACCAACGCTCGTTCTATAGATATCAAAACTGAGAAGATATTTGGCCACATCTACGCTGTAGACTTGATGCAGTTTGGCTCCACTTCAGCTACAGAAATGTGCGATTTGTAGTTGGGTGAAACACCACCAGCATGTTGGGCCAGAGAAGGTGAAGGCTCTGTCGAATTGCAACTCCCAGGATTCCATAAGATTGAGCCATGGCAGTGAAAGTGGTGTCAAACTGCATTAATTCTCCAGTGTAGATTCACCGTATGTTCCATCCGTGGGATCTACATAACTTGCAACGCTGTTTGGGATGAATAGATTTGGGGTGGTGGAGTTGTGATTCCGGTCTACATGGGCGGTGTGGGTTGCTGTCCCTTCTTTGGAACAATTTGTTTTCCAAGTTGAGAGTTCATCCATTGAGTGCAGAGGAGGTGAGGTTGGCTGACCTGTTGGGGACTCTCGGGCTCCACCATGGAAGAGGCACACTGTCCGCGTTGGCTGGTTCTGGGCCAACTGCTGGCAAGGTCCTTGAGCCGATTACGGGTCTCATAATAGCTCCGGGGCAGGATTAGGCTGGGAGCACTCTCTGCTTCCTTAAGGTTTTGATCCTCCTCCTCCTCCTCCTCTTCCTCATCTTCTATGGTCAGCAAAATGGGCCACTGGGCAATCTGAACAGGAAACCTCATCTGTGGACCCTGAAAAACGCATCCCCTTCCAAGATATTTATTTTATTTGTACCTCAAATTCTGGTTATACTTCATGCATATCCTGTTGTTGTTCTTGTTTATTTATTGTGTCAGGAGCAGACCAAACAGTTGTGTTGCATTTTTTAACAAACAAACAAACAGAACACAAAATGTGTGAGTTTGGTAGTTGATTAAATGTCCTTTGACCAGTATCTGGCCACTTGGAGTGCCTCTGGTGTTGCCGCAAGAAGGTCCTCCATTGTGCATGTGCTCAGGTTGCATTGCAGCAGGTGGTCTGTTGTTGATGACGTCTGTTGTTGTTGTTGTTGATGATCTTATTATTTGATGATCATAGATATTCTATGTCAGGAAAGCTTAGCATATTGATCTAAAAGTCAAAGGTCTTGTCTGTCGATTTGTTTGTACCACTGAGGTTGCGGCTAGTGAAGTGACCCTCAGTGGCCACTTTTGTATGAAGAGAAAGGARGAAAGAGAAAAAGAGAAAAAGAAGGGAAAGAAAGGAAAGGAGAAGGAAGGCAGTGAGGGGGGAAGAAGGAAGAAAGGGGTAAAGGAAAAGAGATGGGAGAATAAGAAGGAAGGAAGGAAAAAGATAAGGAAAAAGTTAGGAGAGGAAAAGGAAGTAGTGATGGTACTCACCTTTAAGGCCTTGCATGGTCTGAGGCCGATGTACCTACCAACCTCAGAGATCCCCCCGTTCTGAGGACCAAGATCTATTGGAAATTCCCAGTGTCAAGATCTTGCGTCTAACAGCAACTAGAYGCAGAGCCTTTACAGCAGTGGCACCATCACTCTGGAATATTCTGCCACCTGAAATCCGTGCYTTGCGGGACTTAATCAGCTTTCCACGGGGCATGTAAGACACACCTGTTTCGACAGGCCCTTGATTTTTGATATTGCTGTTTTTAAATTGTTTTAAATTGTTTTTAAATTGTTTTAAATTGTTTTTAAATTGTGTTAGATTTTAGCCTGTTCTTGTAAGCCGCTCCGAGCCCCAGGGGAGTGGCGGCATATAAGTTCGAATAATAAATAAATAAATAAATAAATAAATAAATAAATGTAAGGCAGGAAATAARGCGAAAAGAGATAGCAGAGTAATAAGAAAGTAAGGAAAAAAGGAAAAAAGGAAAAAGGTGCATGAGAAYATCTGGACAACATCAAGTGTTGCCAATCTGAGACCTGAGGATGCCCAAAACAAAGCCCTGTGGAAAKGATATACGGCTCCAGTCCAGCGTACCTGTCGAAATGTATCTCCTTYTACGTCCCACCTCGGAGTTTAAGATCTTCTGGGGAGGCCCTGCTCTCGGCCCTGCCTCTGTCTCAAACACGTTGGGCGGGGACGAGGGACAGGGCCTTCTCAATGGTAGCCCCCCGCCTGTGGAATTCACTTCCTAGGGAAATTAGATCATCATCATCCCTCCTTACCTTTAGAAAGAAGGTTAAAACGTGGATGTGGCACCAGCCCTTTGGGCAATTAGGTTAAAGGACAATTGATAATGTTTGATTATGGCTTGGAAGTGGATTTGGATAAGTTAAGCGGAGTACTCAATAGTATATGGCTAGATAAATAACCACCAGACTGGTAATAGCTCAATGGATTGTAAGTATACTGTTTTAATTTTTATGTCTTAATGTTTATGTTTTTTAACTGTTATAATTGCTGTTTTGTTTTTTATGATGCGGCATCGAATTGTTGTCAATTGGAAGCCACCCTGAGTCCCCCCAGGGGTTGAGAAGGACAGGGTAAAAATGTTCGAAATAAATAAACAAATAAATTAATGATAGTCACAGTGTGAATCCCTCCATTGGGAAAATAGCTTAGGAAGGAGAAAAATAAGGAAGGAAGGAGATGAGGAAAAAGAGAGAGGAGAGGTATAAGGAAGGAAGGAGAGAGGGAGGGTGGGAGGGAAGGAAGGAAGAAAGGTAAAAAGGAAATAAGGAAAAAGAAACAGCAGAGAAGGAAGGAAGGAAGGAAGGAAGGAAGGAAGGAAGGAAGGAAGGAAGGAAGGAAGGAAGGACGGACCAGTGAAGAAGAGAAGATAGGAGGGGGGAATGAGAATGAAGGGATGAAAGCAGTGGGGCAGTGGTTCCAACGCCGGATATGTACGTGAGTTCCACAATAAACGTGGTCTGTAATGTATCACAGGAGTCTGTTGCTTTTGATGCAGTAGAGTTATGTGTCTTTGCTTTGGGAATGAATATAGAGAAGTCAGTGGGTCTTGCTTGCGTTGCAGGTCGTGTGCGGATCCAAGAAGGCGCCTCCCTTCGGATCGAGGGGCTGCGGGCGGAGGACCAGGGCTGGTACGAGTGCCGCGTGCTCTTTCTGGACCGTCCCAACAGCGACGACGAGTTCCAGAATGGCACCTGGATCCACCTCACCATCAACTGTATGGGCAAATGGATTTCGTTTACATTCCCTGACCCTTTTAAAATCCCTGACCCTGACCCTTTTAAAAATCATTGTCAGATGGGATGCAAAGATTATGAAAAGGGAATGAGGTATACAGAGAGGTCGCTTTTTGGGATAACATAATGAGATCAGAAAATAAAATAATTACCAAAATCTATAAGAAATTATTGGAATGGCCCTCAGAAACAGAACAGATCAAAGAGGGAATGACTAAATGGGCGGCAAATTTTGACCACCCAATAACATTAGAAAAATGGGGAAAAAATCTGGAACTAGAAAATTAAATACACCTACGCATATGATTTTAGAGAAAACTGGCTCAAAATGATATATAGATAGTGTATTACACCACAAAAAAATCTCAAAGTGTTACAAGAGTGCCTCCAATAAATGTTGGAAGTGTGAGCAACAAATAGGAACTTTCTTTCACACCTGGTGTAGGAATCACAGATACCTTAAAGGGCCAGACTCAGAGTTAGTTCCAAAACAGAGTTTATTGAAGCAAAGGAAAAGGACACAGAGACACAAATTCAATGCCTCTGGCCAAAACTCAAATGTAAAACCAGACCTGGTTCAAAAAGTAAACAGAAATATAATTCGGATTAACCGGATAAAAGAACCGAATCAAACACAGTACTCTGACGTCACACAAAGAAGGCACAGCATGCAACTGGTAAACAAAAGCAGTGAAGCCGCAGGGAGAGAAGCGTAGTCAGCCGAAGTCCAGAGTCGTAGCAAGAGGAATTCAAAATAGCAAAGTTCCAAAGTCCACAGAAGCAGCATTATAGTCAAGCCGGTCCAAGATCTAGGAAGGGAGAAATCCACACTAACAAGAAGCCAATCCGAGTCAAAAGCACACACGATCAGGAACAGTAACCTGCAAATCCCAAACCAATGCCAAACACGAAACAGGCAGCGACAAGTCCAGACAGTACCCAATGCACGAACGTTCACCAACACCTTGCCTTCTGTAAAGATCCCTCATTCCTGAACCCACTTTTATCTACACATCATCATCATCAGAAGATGAGCTGACCACCGCCCCATGATTATCCCCTGCAGCTGCTCCCAATTCTTCACGTGAAGTCCTACACCCATCCCTCCATCTTCTCCATCTCCTGTCAAGACTTAGACCCCCCCCCAAGACTCAGTTGGATTCCCCGATTGCCAGTCTTCACTCCCAAAGAATCCCACAAATTTATCACTAGGTGTTGGCTCTGCACAAATAGCTTGCACTTCCTTTACCTGTCCAATCCACGGTGTCATCCCTGTCTTCCCCACTCTGTGACCCAACATCCCCTGAGAATCCTCAAAAGAATCCTCATCTGTAGGGGCCATAAGTATATCATGGATCCTCTCTTTGCCGTTCCTCATCCGATTCCTGCTCCCGAGTAACCCTCTTTCTTCCCCTAGTCCAATCCATTGTGTCCCTTCTTCTCCTTCACTCATTGACCCTTCATCCCCAGAGAACCCCTCAAATGACTTCTCATCTGTAGGTGCCATAAGTATATCCTTTTCCTCTGTTGTTCTTCATCAGATTCCTGCTCTCGAGTACTCTTTTTCCCCTTCTGGCACCCATGCTACTGCTTGCAACGTTACTCAACACTTGGTGGACCTGCCCAAAAGCTTAAAAAAATGGAAGGATATACATGGAAACATGCAAAATATTGTAAAGATTAATATTCAAAAGGAGCCAGAATACTTCTTACTAGGAATGCTAGATCTAGATAAAGAGAAAAATAAAGAGATTCTATTTAAGTATTTGGCTATAGTGGCGAAGAATTGGAGATCTAAAGAAACATCAAGAAGGGAAGAATGGCAAAATAAGGTTCTGGAGATAGTGAACATGGATAAACTGACCCTTTGGTTGTCTCCAAACCAGGGGCTACCAAAGAAACAAATGAATCGGGATCGGGTTAAGGATTATTTCAAATAGTCTAAAATATAATTTGAATAGAGAAGGCATACAAGACAAAGGGTGGACTATTTTATGTGAATTTACTGAAGGACGAAATACGACCACTGAGGATAAGATGGAAGTCAGACATCCTTTTTCTGTTTCTTTTCTTCTTTTTTCTTTTTCCCTCCCCCTCCTTTTCCCCCTCTATATTTTTCTTTTTCTTTTATTCCAACCCCAGTTTTAATACATTGTAAACTACTCTGTTTTTTTTTTTGTTCAATAAAAATTAATTTTAAAAAAGGACAAGTTTGCTCCTGTTAGGCATTTTGGAGAATTTGGATCACAGGTGGAATGTATAAGGCTGAGTTGGCACATTCATCACCACCACCACCATCGTAATACTTGTCATAATTTCTCTTCCAGCTCCTCCCGCTTTCCAAGAGATCCCACCACCTTTTGTGGAAGTCCAAGACCAAAATCCACTCACTCTCACTTGCTCAGCAGCAGGCAACCCCCAGCCAGTGATCACCTGGAAGAGGGACAACCAGGCCATTGAAAGTGGAGACAAGGTACAGGTATGATGTCTATCTGTCTGGACCTATCTGTGGCCAGAGGTCTTCTGGCTCAGGATTTTGCCTCTATCTTCTTGACTTTCTGGTAGTTGCTTCCTTTAAGAAAATTTCTAGATAATCAGTAGGGAAGAGATATGGATCAATATTAGGAGGTGATGCAATTTCTAGGCAGAATCCTAGAGTTGGAAGAGACCCCACCGGCCCTCTAGTCTAACCCCATTCTGCCAGGCAGGAAGACACAATTGAAGCCCTCCTGACGGATGGCAGTCCAGCCTCTCTTTAATGATTTTGGGTTGTTCCAATCCACCATGTCTAGTTTCTGCCCTAAATAGTGTACATTTTTACCAGGTGAACAACGGGACTCTTGTCTTCACCAGCGTGGAGAGGGCCACGGCCGGAGCATACACTTGCCATGCTACCAGCGAGGAGGGCACCATCAGCCATACAACCCACCTTCTGGTTCAAGGTAATAATAATAATAATAATAATAATAATAATAATAATAATGATGATGATGATAAGGTAAATTGAAGGAAGGGAGAGTAGGTTTCTACAAAATTTGAATCTGTGCCACTTAATGACTGTTGGATAGGACTGATAGACATATAGCTGTCAGTAGCCAAAAAGAATCTGAGTAATGCTTCATGTCTACTTCTGGATGCGAATCAGGATTTTTGGCTTATGCTTACATCAAGTACAAATTTAGGAGTAAGTTGGAGGCCACTACAGATTTATGCATTCAGCTTGCCAAACATAAAACCCAATTTCAAAACTATTTTGTGTTTGATTAATGGATTTTAACTGTGAATTTTTAATACTGTGATGTTTCATTCTGTTTTAATGTTTTGGGTTTTGTGGGGAAATAGGAGAGAATTCAGGTTCTGTGGGAAAATAGGAGCTAGTTCACAGATCCGCAGAAAATAGGAGCAAGTTCGGGTTCTGTGGAAAATAGGAGAGAGTTCAGGTTCCACGGGAAAATAGGAGTGAGTTCGGGTTCCGCGGAAAATAGGAGCGAGTTTGGGTTCTGCGGAAAATAGGAGCGGGTTCGGGTTCTGCAGAAAATAGGAGCGAGTTCGGGTTCTGCGGAAAATAGGGGCGAGTTCAGGTTCTGCGGAAAATAGGAGAGAGTTCGGGTTCCGCAGAAAATAGGAGAGAGTTCGGGTTCCGCAGAAAATAGGAGAGAGTTTGGGTTCCGCAGAAAATTGTAGAGAGTTCGGGTTCCACGGGAAAATGGGAGAGAGTTCGGGTTCCATGAGAAAATAGGAGCGAGTTCAGGTTCCGCAGAAAATAGGAGCAAGTTCGGGTTCTGCGGAAAATAGGAGAGAGTTTGCGTTCCGCAGAAAATAGGAGAGAGTTTGGATTCCGCAGGAAAAAGGAAAGAGTTCAGGTTCCGCAGAAAATAGGACAGAGTTCGGGTTCCACGGAAAATAGGAGAGAGTTTGGGTTCCGCAGAAAATAGGAGAGAGTTCAGGTTCCGTGGACAATAGGAGAGAGTTTGGGTTCCATGGGAAAATAGGAGAGAGGTTGGGTCCTGTGGGAAAATAGAGAGTTTGGGTTCTCTAAGGAAAATAGGAGAGGGTTCATTAGTCTTGGATTTTAGCCTCAAATGAGTTCTTGTTTTAACTATCCCTGCCTTCCTTATGTATGTTCTGTTTCTTTTTTCCCAAGGGCCGCCGATCATTGTGGTCCCCCCGCAGAACGTCACAGTCAACCTTACGCAAGATGCCTTCATGACCTGTCAAGCCGAGGCATACCCTGCCAATCTCACTTACAGCTGGTTCCAAGGGAAGACTAATGTCTTCCACGTCAGGTAAAGACAAGTGTAACGGAGCACGGTTGATGTGACATATGGCAGGCATCATAAGGCTTTGCTTTCAGGCTTTTGAGCTCTTTGAACTTCCTCTCTTTCAGCCACCTCCAGTCCCGGATCCGCATTTTGGTAGACGGAAGCCTCTTAGTGCAGAAAACCACCCTGGAAGATTCAGGAAAATACACTTGCATTCCCAGCAATGGGCTAAGAAGACCACCGACTGCCTCCGCCTTCCTCACCGTTCTGTGTAAGTGCTCTGTTTCCCTATAATTATGAAACCATGTCCACTAATAAACATAATCTTACTGAATAGTAGTCTGCAGTGTCTATGCAGAGTTTAGATCATCCTCTATTGCAGTGGTTCTCAACCTTGGATCCCCAGATGTTTTTGGCCTACAACTCTCAGAAATCCCAGCCAGTTTACCAGCTGTTAGGATTTCTGGGAGTTGAAGGCCAAAAACATCCGGGGACCCCAGGTTGAGAACCACTGCTCCTGTAAAGAAGAAGAAGAACTTTATTTTTCTACCCCGCCTCCATCTCCCCGAAGGGACTCGGGGCGGCTTACATGGGGCCCAAGCCCAAGGCAGAATACAATTAAAAACAAAGTAATAACAATTAAGACAGCATAAAACAGCGTAAAACAGCATAACAATAATAGCTAGCAACAACAATAATAGCAGACTAATTTTGGAGGGGGGGGGGGGAAGAAAGCCACTATGTGAGCTGGTTAAAGGATAAGGTGGTTTAGTAAGGTGGATAACAATGTATAATGGCATAGGAAATATCATGGAAACAGAGCAAATCAACAGGATCAGAAACAGTTCAGTTAATATAATATAGGACATCAGATCAAATGACGATTCAGGTCATGATACAGGCCGTTGGTCATATTGAAAGCACGACAAAACATCCACGCAGGGGCGGCTCAACCCATTACGCAAAGTAAGCGTTTGCAGTATAGTTGATTTTGCTCAGGGACACTCTTGAGGAGCTCTTGGGGGAAAATAGACCTTGACATATGTGAGTTGTGAGTTGTAGTTACTGGGATGTATAGTTCACCTACAATCAAAGAGCATTCTGAACTCCACCAATGATGGAATTGAACCAAATATGGCACACAGAACTCCCACGACGAACAGAAAATACTATTTGCTTACCTAGGGCTGCCTCTGCATCCACGTCTTTAATTCCTTACAGAATGTGGCTAGGGAGTGTGCCAACCTAATCTCCCTGGGGAGGGAGTTCCAGAAATGGGGGGGGGGCACCACTGAGAATGCCCTTTCTCTTGTCCCCACCAACCATGCCTGAGACAGGGACGGGGGCTAGAGAAAAGCATCCCAGGAAGATCTTAAGGACCATGGGGGCTCGTAAGAGAGGAGGCGGTCACGCAGATAGGCAGGTCCTGAACCGTTAAGAAAGTCTTTAAATAATTATAAATTGAAGGGATAGTGATCCAAGGTATTGCTGTTATCCCTGATATATTATTACTATTACTGTTATTGTTATTGGTATACTATGTAATACAATTTTTGTTCCTGGGCTATAAATGTCATTTCCTAATTGGGTCTATCATAAAAACATGGAAAAATTTATTAAACTGCAGAAACTTGTTATTATTATTTGAAACACAACAAGATGAGTCCGCAGCAAACAAGATCACTATGCTGGTTGTCGTATTGGATCCCACGTCGGACACTTTCCAAGTGGACTGTGTGATGTATTGGCGAATAATGCGTGCAGATCCCAGTAAGGTGGCCTTCTGCAGCTGACAGGTGGTAATTTTGTCAGCGCCGATTGTATTTAAGTGCAGGCCAAGGTCTTATTATTATTATTATTATTAATAATAATAATAATAATATCTATATTATAATACTAGTAGGAGCCCCTGGTGGCGACAGGACTGTGCTAAACCCCTGTGCCGACAGGACTGAAGACCATCAGGTCGCAGGTTCGAATCCAGGGAGAGGTGGATGATCTCCCTCTGCCAGCTCCAGCTCCTCATGCGGGGACATGAGAGAAGCCTCCCACAAGGATGATAAAAACATCAAATCATCCGGGCGTCCCCTGGGCAATGTCCTTGCAGACAGCCAATTCTCTCACAACAGAAGCGACTTGCAGTTTCTCAAATCACTCCTGACACAACAAAAAAAATACTAGTATAGTATAGTATTATAAATATAATATAATATAAGAGAGAGAGAAAAGAGGGATGTTATTGTTATATTATTATTATAGATTTATTTGTACATTACAAAGCACACATGCAATTCCAAGTGTCTGGAATTAGTTTATTGTCTACTTGTATGGGGTTTTTTTGCACTTGTATTTTGCATGTCACACCTTGAGTATTCATGGCCAGAATCACTGGGTTGTTGTGGGTTTTTGGGCTGTATGGCCATGTTCCAGAAGTATTCTCTCCTGATGTTTTGCTCACATGACAGTCCTGATTCTTGCAGCCTAGGAGCAAGCCATCAGAACCAATGCCATTAAGGCCAGGATTGAAAAATCAGCAGATGACCCAAAATTCAGAATGTGCAAGGAAGCTGATGAAACCATGGATCATATACTCAGCTGTTGCAAGAAAATCACACAGACGGACTACAAACAAAGACACAACTCTGTGGCGCAGATGATTCCCTGGAACTTATGTCACAAGGACCACTTGCCAGCAGCAAAAAATTGGTGGGATCATAAACCCGCAAAGGTCGTGGAAAACGAACATGCAAAAATTCTGTGGGATTTTCGAATCCAGGCTAACAAAGTTTTGGAACACAATTAACCAGACATCACGATTGTGGAAAAGAAAAAAAGTCTGGATTATTGATGTCACCATTCCAGGTGACAGTCGCATTGAGGAAAAACAACAGAAAAACTCTGCCGCTATCAAGACCTCAAAATTGAACTGCAGAGGCTCTGGCATAAACAAGTACAAGTGGTCCCAGTGGTCATTGGCGCACTGGGTGCCGTGCCAAAAGATCTCAGTCGCCATTTGGAAACAATAAACATGGACAAAATCACGATCTGTCAACTACAAAAGGCCAACTGACTTGGATCTGCGTGCATCATTCGAAAATACACCACACAGTCCTAGACGCTTGGGAAGTGTTCGACTTGTGATTTTGTGATACGAAATCTAGCATATAGATCTCGTTTGCTGTGACATACTGTGCTTTTGTGTCAGTAAAATAATAATAATAATAATAATAATAATAATAATAATAATAATAATGGGCCCTTCCCAATGGCCTAGTATATTAGAGGTATTTGTCCACTCGTTCTATTTCCCCCACTTTTTAATGTATGGTTCCAGTGTCAATTTCCTTCTGCCTTTCTGCAGTTCCAGCACAAGTGAACAACATGCCTTCTGAGACCTTATTGCCAATAGGAATGCAAGGTACAATCCGATGCCCCAGTAAAGCCAACCCTCCCCTGCTCTTCGTCAACTGGACCAAAGATGGACAGTCACTGGACTTAGGCAAGGTATTTCCTTAGGAATACAGCATCCAGCCATTTCCAGTACTTCCCTCATTATTTGTTTGATTCATCTCCTCTTGTTCCTCCTGCTAGTTCCCAGGTTGGTCAATGAAACACGATGGTGCCATTGTGATTGCCACAAGCAATGAAGATGCTCTCGGTATTTACACTTGCACCCCATATAACAGCTATGGAACGGCTGGCTCTTCTGCACCCACTCGTGTCCTCTTGAAGGTAAGCAAGGCTGGTTATCTTAATATATAAAAAGGTACTAGTCGTCATTAGTAGCCTAAAAACAAACAAACATTGGGGCCAACTGACATCAAATTTGGCCTCCAAACTTCTCATACCGCCAGGTATGACCAACATTTTTTTAAAAAACCCCAAAACCGTGCAAATAGCTTCACTATTCTAAAAAAATAAAAAAATACCTTACCACACATGTGCACAGGCCTCCAAAGAGACACAGGGTTCAGTAACAAATCTGACTTCACAATTCCCACAATTCCTAACAGCCATGCTATTCTGGCCGTTAGGAATTGTGGGAACTGAAGTCCAAAATGTCTGGAGGACCCAAGCAAGCCCAGGCCTACACACATATACAAACAACACACACATGCAAATATCTACACAAACACATATCCACTCATATATACATACAGACATATATATATATATATACACATACATACACATATACATATGCACATACATAAACATATATACACACACTCCAGGAAATAAAGCCCGACTGCTCATTGGAGGGAAGGATACTAGAGACAAAGTTGAAGTCCTTTGGCCACATCATGAGGAGACAGGAAAGCCTAGAGAAGACAATTATGCTGGGGAAAGTGGAAGGCAAAGGGAAGAGGGGCCGACCAAGGGCAAGATGGATGGATGGCATCCTTGAAGTGACTGGACTGACCTTGAAGGAGCTGGGGGTGGTGACGGCCGACAGGGAGCTCTGGCGTGGGCTGGTCCATGAGGTCATGAAGAGTCAGAGACGACTGAATGAATGAACAACAACAATATATATACACATACTAACCACTCATATATACATATACACATGCACACATATATACACACATATATACATATATACATGCACACATATACACACACATATATACATATACACAAGCACACACAAATATACATATATATACACATCCACACATATATACACATATGTATATGTATATACATATACACATACATTGCCTACCTTCAGAACCTTTGAAAAGCCCTGCAGCTTAAAAGCCTGGCTTCTTCCTGCGTACTGGAAATCTTTGTGGGGAGGTGTTCCCTAGCCTAGATTGTTTCATGTCTGGGATTCCTGTTTTCTGAGGCCACAGCAACGCGTGGCCAGGGTACAGCTAGTATTAAGATGCAAAATTAGTTGCAGGTGGTATATGGTCGCCCCTTCCTACTTAGAACCATTCAGCGCTGATGTCTCTTGTCACCACCATAGTTTTAAAAATAAAATACTGGTTTCCTCATCAAGCTTTGAATCCTTCAGATGTGATGGTCCATGCTTTTTGTATTATTTATTGTTGTTCACTGCAATAAATTCAGCGGCCTATATTGGGTTACTCACCCCCCTCTTGCTCCACCTGGGATTTAAAATGGTACGAGAATCCCTGAAGCAGAGGTTGTGAGATATTTTCCTGGGAGAGCTCAGGGCTCGCTCAACTCATCATGCTCCTCCAGATCTTTAAATTTATCTTACAGAGACTCTTTTAAGACTTTTGAATATCTAAAAAGAACCTTACAGTAATTAAATATTGCAGACAAATTAGAGAGATGGGCCAAAACTAACAAAATGAAGTTCAGCAGTGACAAATGCAAGATACTCCACTTAGGCAGAAAATATTGTTGTTGTTGTTGTTAATATTCAACAAATATTAAAGACATAGTGAACAACAATAAATATATTGTTGTTCACTATGTCTTTAATATTTGTTGAATTACTCAGGATGTATATGTGTAACACTTGAAATTTAGCTTATTGATTTGTGTTTATAACATAATAAAATATGTTAAAAAAAGTTCACTATGAACCCGCTAGGTGCCCCCATCACTTCTCGTTCTGTATTTTCTAACTCTGCCCATTTTGGACATCACCTATTGGTATCTCTTGTGTTTATGGACTAGGATCCTCCCACCTTCACCATTCGCCCCAAGGAAGAATATTTCCAGGAGGTCGGGCGGGATCTGCTCATTCCCTGTGCCGCTCAAGGGGACCCCTTTCCGGTCATCTCTTGGACAAAGGTGAGATGCCCCTTTTGGACATATCCTCAATGGACTTTCCAAACCCACTTGGGTGTTACTATATTTTTTGTTAAATTTGGATAGTTGTGTGCTGGTACTGTTAACAGCTTCAGGATTTGTGGAAATGAGGTGTGGTACTATAATTCACCACATAATAGTCGCCACTGCATAATTGTTACACCCCAAAATTTGGCTTCCAGATTATTTTTGTGTAATTGTCACACAGCTTTTTGGGGCTCAGATTGTCCCTTCATACTCCAAAGGCGAGGCAGTTTAAGAAATCTGAAATGGAGCTCTTTGGGGTTTTGAAATAGAGCTCCAAAGGCAATAAAATTTTAAAAATATCATATGGAGCACTTTGGAGCTCTTCCTTTCTCCAGAGCAAGGCAGTTTATGAAAAAAAGAAAGAAAAAGAGCTTTCTGGAACTGGATTATCCCTCCTCCCGCTGCTTTACCTTGGAGGTTAATAATAATAATAATAAAAATAATAACCGGAAAAGCTTACACGATAAGAGGATTTAAAGATCAAACTGCAAAGACTCTGGCACAAGCCAGTCAAATGGGTCCCAGTGGTGATCGGCATACTAGGTGCAGTGCCTATAGACCTTGGCCTGCACTTGAAAACAATTGGCGCTGACAAAATTACCATCTGTCAGCTGCAAAAGGCCACCCTACTTGGATCTGCATGCATTATTCGCCAATACATTACACAGTCCTTGACACTTGGGAAGTGTGATCAAATACAACAGCCAGCATAGTTATATTGTTTGCTGTGCACTAATCTTGCTGTGTATCTAATAATAATAACAACAACAACAACAATAATAATGATAATAGCCAAGAACCTGCTTTAATTGAAGTCAATAATCAGAAACTTCTCAAAGCACAGCAGACAAAGAGTCAGTACAAGAAAACTGCACTCCAAACCACAGCTGACAGCTGGCACAACAAAGCCTTACATGGGCAGTTTCTTGAGGAGATTGAAGGAAAAGTTGACAAGGAGAAGACCTGGTTATGACTCATGAATGGAACCCTGAAAAAGGAGACAGAAGGCCTGATTCTTGCAGCCCAGGAGCAAGCCATCAGAACCAATGCAATTAAGGCCAGGATTGAAAAATCAGTGGATGACCCAAAATGCAGACTGTGCAAGGAAGCTGATGAAACCGTGGACCATCTCCTCAGCTGTTGGAAGAAAATTGCACAGACAGATTACACACAAAGACACAACTTTGTGGCCCAGATGATTCACTGGAACTTATGTCACAAGTACCACCTTCCAGCAGTAAAGAATTGGTGGATCATAAATCCACAAAGGTCGTGGAAAATGAACATGCAAAAATACTGTGGGAGTTTCGAATCCAGACTGACAAAGTTTTGGAACACAATACACCAGACATCACGATTGTGGAAAAGAAAAAAGTCTGGATTATTAATGTCGCCATACTGGGTGACAGCCGCATTGAGGAAAAACAACAGGAAAAACTCAGCCGCTATCAGGACCTCAAAATCGAACTGCAAAGGCTCTGGCATCAACCAGTACAGGTGGTCCTAGTGGTTATTGGCACACTGGGTGCCGTGCCAAAAGATCTCAGCCGGCATTTGGAAACAATAAACATTGACCAAATCACGATCTGTCAACTGCAAAAGGCCCCCTGACTTGATCTGTGCGCATCATTCGAAAATACATCACACAGTCCTAGACACTTGGGAAGGGTTCGACTTGTGATTTTGTGATACGAAATCCAACATATAGATCTCGTTTGCTGTGACATACTGTGCTTTGGTGTCAATAATAATAATAATATTACATTCTTTATTTATATCCTTCATTTCTCCTAACGTGACCCAAAGCAGCTCACAACATAATACAATACAAATCAAAGCACATTTAACATAAAATACAAGAAAAAAAATCACACAAAGCATAACAACGTCCAGAAATAAGGTATAAATAAATATTAAGCATTAAAACATTTTAAACAATTACAATGATTGTGGAGTATCATCAATGAAATAGAATCATAGAATCAAAGAGTTGGAAGAGACCTCATGGGCCAGCCAGTCCAACCCCATTCTGCCAAGAAGCAGGAATATTGCATTCACATCACCCCTGACAGATGGCCATCCAGCCTCTGCTTAAAAGCCTCCAAAGAAGGAGCCTCCGGGGCAGAGAGTTCCACTGCTGAACGGCTCTCACAGTCAGGAAGTTCTTCCTAATGTTCAGATGGAATCTCCTCTCTTGTAGTTTGAAGCCATTGTTCTGCGTCCTAGTCTCCAAGGAAGCAGAAAACAAGCTTGCTCCCTCCTCCCTGTGGCTTCTTCTCACATATTTATACATGGCTATCATATCTCCTCTCAGCCTTCTCTTCTTCAGGCTAAACATGCCCAGTTCCCTAAGCCGCTCCTCATAGGGCTTGTTCTCCAGACCCTTGATCATTTTAGTCGCCCTTAGTGAAATAGTATATTTCACTAAGCTCGTTGCAAATCGACCTTGCTATTAGGTTCTTGTGGGTTTTTTCGGGCTATAGGGCCATGTTCTAGAGGCATTTTTCCTGACGTTTCGCCTGCATCTATGCCAAGCATCCTCAGAGGTAGTGAGGTCTGTTGGAACTGGGAAAATGGGTTTATATATCTGTGGAATGACTGGGGTGGGCCAAGGAGCTCTTCTCTGCTGAAGCTAGGTGTGAATGTTGCAGCTGACCACCTTCATTAGCATTTGAAGGCCTGGCTGAGCCTGGGAAAATATTTTGTTGAGAGGTGTTAAGATGTGCCTGGTTGTTTCCTCTCTGCTGTTTTGCTGTTGTAATTTTAGAGTTTTTTTAATACTAGTAGCCAGATTTTGTTCATTTTCATGGTCTCTCCTTTCTGTTGAAATTGTCCACATGCTTGTGGATTTCAATGGCTTCTCTGTGTAGTCTAACATGGTGGTTGTTGGTGTGGTCCAGCATTTCTGTGTTCTCAGATAATATGCTGTGTCCAGGCTGGTTCATCAGGTGCTCTGCTATGGCCGATTTCTCTGGTTGAAGGAGTCTGCATGCTTATGGATTTCAATGGCTTCTCTGGGTAGTCTGACATGGTGGTTGTTGGTGGTTGAAGGCACTGCAGACTACATCAACCAGAGAAATCAGCCATAGCAGAGCACCTGATGAACCAGCCTGGACACAGCATATTATTTGAGAACACAGAAATGCTGGACCACACCAACAACCACCATGTCAGACTACACAGAGAAGCCATTGAAATCCACAAGCATGTGGACAATTTCAACAGAAAGGAAGAGACCATGAAAATGAACAATAATAATAAATAAAATTTGTCAAACGCATATTTTCTTTTACTCACGTAATAGTTGCACCTCTTTTTTGTGTGTCCACAAAAGGGATAAAAAGTGTGACTATTGTGTGATGAAATACATTATCTCAGTATTCCTCCTTCTCCTGATACTCCCCTGCAGATGGGCAACAAGGGCCTGGCCAATGCTCAAGTCGACAATAACAACAGCTTGGTCCTCCGTCCACTGACCAAGGAGCAGCATGGCTTATGGGAGTGTGCAGCCAACAACGGGGTGGCCCACGTCAGCATCACAACCACTGTCTATGTACTGGGTAAGTACATTATTCAAGGGTAAAAGAGAAGCGCATCAAAAACTAGCTTCATTGGGGACACATGTGTGCATTACAGGGTTTCTCTCTTTTTGTTGTATACAAGTCTTTTAAAAATATTTTTTATTAATTGTGTTGTATATAAGCCTTTAAAAACCCACTGCTGACTTACAGAAATACAGTTCTTTCTATAAAGCCAATTACAATCCCTAGTATGTGGCAAACTTGTATGGTTCAGAAACACCTAGAAGTCCCCTGCTGAGAGATCTGAATAGTAAAAGGTGTATTGTATCAATGTTCATATAGGCAGGTAAGTACATGACTTGAAGACTATGCCTCCCCATATTTCCAGGTTTAGTTTTCTTCTTAGAAACTTCAGAGTCGAAAGGCCATCTTCTTTAAGTCGTGGTGATGTAGCCTCTCTCTTTCTCCTTTTCCTCCTTTCTTTTTGTTGTTTCAAACTCCAGGAACCAGTCCGCACACTGTGGCCAACGTCTCATTGCTGCCACTCCAGCAGGCGGTCAACATCACCTGGGAACCAGGCTTCGATGGGGGCTATTTTCAGAGATTTAGCATCTGGTACACACCACTGTGAGTTGTGAGATTATTATTACCGTATATACTCGAGTATAAGCTGAGCTTTTTAGCCCCTTTTTAGGCTGAAAAAGCCTGGCTTGGCTTATATTTGAGTCAAAAACAATAACTTTGACTCAAATATAAGCCAAGCCAGGCTTTTTCAGCCTAAAAAGGGGCTATATATTTGAGTCAAATATAATATATTTGAGTCAAATATAAGCCTTGCTTGGCTTATATTTGAGTCCCTAAATGACTCCGGCCCTGTTTACCTCTCCGAACGTATATGAACCATCAAGACCATTAAGATCGTCTGGAAGGGCCCTGCTCTCGGTCCCACCGCCTGCACAACGGCTGGTGGGGACGAGGGACAGGGCCTTCTCGATGGTGGCTCCCCGACTTTGGAACTCCCTCCCATTAGAGATCAGAACTGCCCCCTCCCTCATGACATTCAGGAAATTAACAAAGACCTGGTTGTGGAACGTGGCATTTGACAACTGATTTAATTCTTTGCCCACATGAAAGGAGGATGATGAACGGTAGTTTGGGATGGTGATTTGTGTGGTCGATTTGGCTCTTATAACTGTGATGATAATGTTTTAATGTTTATGGTGCTTATATTTTAATCGTGTAATGATGTTGCATTGTGTTGTTATTGTATATTTTTGTATGTTAACACATGTTGTGAACCGGTCTGAATCCCTCTTTGAAGGTGAGAGGGTCGGTATATAAAACCTCGAAATAAATAATAAATAATAAATAACATTACTTATTATTTTACTCTGTTATTATTATTATTTTTATTACATTTATTATTTTACTCTAATTATTATTATGATTATTACATTAACAGTATTTCACGCTATTATTATTATTACATTTATTATTTTACTCTATTATTACTACATTAACAATATTTCACTCTATTATTATTACATTTATTATTTTACTTTAGTTATTATTGTTAGTATTACATTTGTTATTTTTCTCTATTTATTATTACATGTATTACTTAATTTATTTATTATTGTTAGTATTACATTTATTACTTTTCGCTATTTATTATCGATAATATTACATTTATTATTTTACTTTATTTATGTATTATTATTACACTAGCAGTCTCCTGCCATGCGTTGCTGTGGCCCTTTCTGTGTATAAGTGTTTTTGAATGTATATATTTGTGTATATCTGTATATATGTGTGTTTGCATATGTATGTGGTTTTGAGCATGCGTTGTAATGTAATTTTTGTTTTTTGGCTTTTTAAGTCTCTTCTGCTGTGTTTTTCAGTGTTTTTTATGAGTGATAGTCACTCGTTGGCCTGATAGGTGTATTATGTCCAAATTCGGTGTCAATTCGCCCATTGGTTTTTGAGTTATGTTAATCCCACAAACAAACATTACATTTTTATTTATATAGATTACATTAACAGTATTTCATTCTATTGTTATTACATTTATTTTTTACTTTAGTTATTATTGTTAGTATTACATTTGTTATTTTTCTTTATTATTATTACATTTATTATTTTCTCTATTATTATTACATGTATTACTGCATATACTTGAGTATAAGCCTACTTTTTCAGCCCTTTTTTTAGGCTGAAAAAGTCCTCTTTGGCTTATACTCGAGTCAAAGTTATTTATTATTTTACTCTATTATTATTATTATTATTATTATCATCATTTCATTTATTATTTTATTCTATTTATTATTATTACATTTATCATTTTACTCTATTATTATACATTTATTATTTTACTGTATAATTGTTATTGCTACATTCATTATTTTACTCTTAATATTATTATTGTTATTATTACATTTGTTATGTTGCTCTATTATTAGAAGGACATGTAAGCACATTTACACTGAAGAAGGTAAATAATCATTTAATCAGAGTTGGACAGTCTTATCTTAAATTACCATTTTTGTAAATATTCAAAAATATATAACCTACTGATTCCTCAATTAATGTAATTTAATTGGTATCTATTATTATTTTGCAATTTACCAGTAGCTGCTGCATTTCCCACCCTCGGCTTATACTCGAGTCAATCCGTTTTCTCAGTTTTTTTGTGGTAAAGTTAGGTGCCTCGGCTTATATTTGGGTCAGCTTATACTCGAGTATATACGGTACTTTACTTTATTTATTATTGTTAGTATTACATTTATTACTTTTCTCTATTTATTATCGTTAATATTACATTTGTTATTTTACTCTATTTTTATTATTACATTTATTATTTTACTCTATTTATTATTATTACATTAAAATTATTTTGTTATATTAATATTTTATTACATTTATTATTTTACTTTATTATTTTATTACATTATTTTACTCTATTTTATTACTACATTTATTATTTTACTATATTATTACTGTTATTATTACATTTCCATTATTGTACTCATTGTTATTAGTTTTATTACATATATTATTTTACTCTCTATTATTATTGGAAGGATATTTAAGCACATTTACATTGAAGAAGGTTAGAATAATGATTTGATCAGAGTTGGATAGTCTTATCTTAAATTCCAGTTTTATGTAAGTATTCAAAAACATTGAACCTACCGATGTGTCCATTATTTTTTATTTTGAAATGTACCAGTAGCCACTGCATTTCCCACCCTCAGCTTAGACTTGAGTCAATATATTGTTGAAGGCTTTCATGGCTGGAATCACTGGGTTGTTGTAGGTTTTTTCGGGCTATATGGCCATGTTCTAGAGGCATTTTCTCCTGACGTTTCGCCTGCATCTATGGCAAGCATCCTCAGAGGTAGTGAGGTCTGTTGGAACTAGGAAAATGGGTTTATATATCTGTGGAAACGACCAGGGTGGGACAAAGGACTCTTGTCTGCTGGAGCTAGGTGTGAATGTTTCAGCTGACCACCTTGATTAGCATTTGATTGCTTGGCAGTGCTTGGGGGAACACGAAAGGCACTGCAGACTCCTTCAACCAGAGAAGTCAGCCATAGCAGAGCACCTGATGAACCAACCTGGACACAGCATATTATCTGAGAACACAGAAATGTTGGACCACTCTCACAACCACCATGCCAGACTACACAGAGAAGCCATTGAAATCCACAAGCATGTTGACAATTTCAACAGAAAGAGGAAACTATGAAAATGAACAAAATCTGGCTACCAGTACTAAAAATCTCAAAAATTACAACAGCAAAACAACAGACAGTAAACAATCGAGCATATCTAATCACCTCTCAACAAAAGATTCCCCCAAGCACTGCCAAGCAATCAAATGCTAATCAAGGTGGTCAGTTGAAACATTCCCACCTAGCTCCAGCAGACAAGAGTTCTTTGTCCCACCCTGGTCATTCCACAGATATATAAACCCATTTTCCCAGTTCCAACAGACCTCACTACCTCTGAGGATGCTTGCCATAGATGCAGGTGAGACGTCAGGAGAAAATGCCTCTAGAACATGGCCATATAGCCCGGAAAAACCTACAACCCAATTAAACCCTCTTCCTCACTTTTGACACATGGGAACAGCAGTGAAGTTGCAGAAAAGTCCGTTCCACTGGGGGGCACTCTGGATCAACAGATGAGATAAAGGAAATTTTATTATGCCTTCAAAACTGTCGAAATAACAGGATACTTGTTATTTCCAGTCCCCCAGCACATTGCTTGACTTCATAGTTGGAAGAGACCCCGAGGGCCATCCAGCCCAACCTCATTTTGCCATACAGAAAGACACAATCAAATCTCTCCCGACAGATAGCCATCAAATTTGCTGCAAGAGCGCACACAAGTTTCTTCTGTCTTCTGTTTCAGAACCACATGCGTTTTCCTCACCTAGATTCAGTCCCTTTCGTTGTATTTTATGGCTGCCGCTGCTTTATTTCCATGTCCTCCTCCACAGGTTGAAACGCTTCAATCGGCCTCACCATGACTGGGTCTCCGTGCCAGTGCCTGTCGGGGCCTCCCACATCATGGTGGAGAACCTACAGCCGGATACCAGTTACCAGTTCAGTGTCCTGGCCCAGAACAAACTGGGGAGCGGGCCCTTCAGTGAGATTGTCACCACTGTGCCACTAGGTGAGAGCGGCTCCGAGGTGACCTGGGAAGAGGAGCATTCACTTGGTGGGCAAACAATAAGAATAAATGATGTTTTTAGGATTTTAGTACAATCTGTTTTATGGGTAACCTCAGTGGCCAAGGTCACGGGAATTTTTAAATGGTATATGTCGCAATTTGTTTATTTATTCTATACTAGCTTGGGTACCCGGTGTTGCCAGGGTTATTTGAACATGTCAATTTTATAATTGTACAAAGTCCATGCAGTCATGCCGGCCACATGACTAAGGAGGCTGTCGAGGTCCTGAACCGGTGCTTGGCCGCTGTGACGGTCTGGATGAGGGCGAACAAATTGAAATTGAATCCAGACAAGACAGAGGTACTCCTGGTCAGTCGCAAGGCCGAACAGGGCATAGGGTTACAGCCTGTGTTGGATGGGGCCGCACTCCCCCTGAAGACGCAGGTTCGCAGCTTGGGTGTGACCCTGGACTCATCGCTGAGCCTGGAACCCCAGGTTTCGGCGGTGACCAGGGGAGCATTTGCACAGCTAAAGCTTGTGCGCCAGCTGCGCCCGTACCTTGGGAAGTCTGACTTGGCCACGGTAGTCCACGCTCTGGTTACATCCCGTTTAGACTACTGCAACGCTCTCTACGTGGGGTTGCCTTTGAAGACTGCTCGGAAGCTTCAACTAGTCCAACGCTCGGCAGCCATGATACTAACAGGAGCGGAGCTCAGGGAGCATACAACCCCCCTGTTGCGCCAACTCCACTGGCTACCGATCTGCTACCGGGCTGAATTCAAAGTGCTGGCGTTGGCCTTTAAAGCCCTAAACGGTTCCGGCCCAAGCTACCTATCTGACCGCATCTCTGCCTATGAACCCACCAGGACTTTGAGATCTTCCGGGGAGACCCTGCTCTCGATCCCGCCTGCTTCTCAAGCTCGGCTGGCGGGGACGAGAGATAGGGCCTTCTCGGTGGTGGCTCCTCGGCTGTGGAACGCCCTTCCTACGGACATTAGACTAGCACGATCTCTAATGGTATTCCGCAAAAAGGTGAAGACCTGGATGTTTGTGCAGGCGTTTGAGTAATTTAGTACAATCTGGTAATGGAACATAGGAATGGAACAATGGACGACGAATCTGGACTACGCTTGGATGATGAGAAGATTGGGTACGGTTGTTTTTTGTAATAATTGTGCATTGTAATTGCTTATTGGTAATTTATGGATAATGTGTTAAGTCAATTGTTATATGTTGTATGGAACCACTGCTGTTTCTACTGTTTGTGAACCGCTGTGAGTCGCCTTCGGGCTTGAGATACAGCGGTATATAAGCAAAGTAAATAAATAATAAATAATAAATGACCTTGGAGGTGTCTACGGACAACGCTGGCTCTTCGGCTTAGAAATGGAGATGAGCACCACACCCCAGAGTCAGACATGACTGGACTTAATGTCAGGGGACTACCTTTACCTTTACATTTTTACAAAAGACATAAGGTTGTGGGAGAACTACAACTCCCATCATGCCAGGTTGACCCCCTGAAACTCCATCAGTAGTTAATAATAATAATAATAATAATAATAATCTTTATTTGTACCCCACACCACCTCCCCAATGGGGATTCCGTGCGGCTTACATGAGGCCAAGCCCAAAACAACAATTACATAAAATAAAACAAAACCGAAAACACAAATAATAAACAATAATAATGCAATTATATAAAACAAAAGACAACATAGCAATAGAAAATTACAATAAACACAGTCACAATAACATGGTTTGTCATATTGGGCAAGTTTACTCTAGATCAGCGGTTCTCAACTTGGGGGTCGCGACCGCCAGGGGGGTCGCCTGGCCATTTCGGAGGGGTCGTGAGGCTGCCTCCGTTGGCCCCCCCAAGGGTGTGGGCTCCTTCGCACGAGACCTGGCCTCGCGCAAAGCCCGCCTCACCTGCCTCGCTCTCTCGCCATTTGGTGAGGGCGCGGGGTCGTCCGCGCAAGGCCTGCCTCGCCTGCCTCACTCTCTTGCCATCCGGCAAGGGCGTGAGGCAGGCGAGGGGGTCTCCGTGCAAGGCCTGCCTTGCTCTCTCACCATCCGTCGAGGGCGCAAGGCAGGCGAGGGGGGTCTTCGTGTGAGGCCTGGCCTCACGCAAAGCCTGCCTCGCCATCCGGCATTTTTCCCAAACTCCACTAGTGTTCAAATTTGGGCATATTGAGTATTTGTGCCATGTTTGTTCCAGATCAATGGTTGTTTGGGTTAACAATGCTCTCCAGAACCAACAAATAGGTTGGTTCCAATACCAACAAATAAAAGAATGCTTCAAGGTGGACCAAAAAGTGGGCTTTAACGAAAAAGACACTTGCTGGGATATTATAATGAAAAAGGAAAAAAACCTGATTAAAATATTATATCAGAACTTGCTAGAATGGAACACCGAGAAAGAACTTATAAAGGAAAACATGTCTAAGTGGGTCAGAGACATAGGTCACTCTATACTTCTAAAAGATTGGGAACAAGTTTGGAAAATAAAGTTAAAATACACAAGAGCTATTAATATAATTAAAAACTGGCATAATTTTTTTATAGATGGCACTTAACACCAGTGCAGCTCTCTAAATTTAATAAAAACTGTGATGGAGCTTGTTGGAAATGTGGAAAGGAGATCGGAACTTACTATCATCTATTTTGGGAATGTAAGAAGATAAATAATGGTTGCAGATAGATAAGCACACACAAAGTATAATTAAGATAAAATTTGATATGAAACCTGAATATTATTTGCTGAACATAATAGACTTAGATTTAAAGAAAAACGAGGAAAAAAAATTTCTTTACTTATCCTCCGCGGCAAGAATATTAATCACACAAAAATGGAAAAACAAGGAAACTCCAACCAACGAAGAATGGATCAAAAAAATAATGGAATTTAGAGACTTAGATAAGCTTTTGTGCATACTAGAAGAACAGAATAAAGAAAAACAGATAAATTGGAAACCTCTAGGAGACTATTTAAGAGAAAGAACTAAATTGGATATTTAAGGTGCTATGAAAAAGGATCAACTATTAACTATGGACATAGCAAGCACAAGAAGAATTATACAATCTGACGACTATCTCTCTGCGGACTGAACGGAAGATTAAACACGCATACTTAACTCTCCCCTCCCCCGACCCGCTACCAATCCCTCAACTCCCCCCTTTTTTCCCCCTCACTCCTTGCCCACCTCCCCTTTCACTACCCGTCTTACTTGCCCTACTTGCATCTATCCTTTCTAACCTTTCTATCTGGATGATTGTTCCCCCTCTTTCACTGTTAAAGGAAAACTTATGAATAAATTAAAAAAACCAATGCTCTCCAGATGTAGGTGAACTACTAGGGCTGGGCGGTTTCGTTCATTAATTTCGTAATTCGTTATTAATTCGTTATTTTTTTTATAACGAAGCGATATTGAACCATTCAGGAGCAACTAAAAATCGAAACGAATTTTCAATTCGTTTCCTAATTGTTTTGTAATTGCTTCGTAATTGTTTCGAAATCGTTTCGTTATTATTTCCACATGTCTGGTGCAAGTTTTATAGTTGTTGTTTGTTTTATCAGTGAAAAAAATATATAATTATCACACCAACAGTCAACAACAGAGGGAGAGGGAAGCTTCAGAAGTTTCCCCTCTCCCATTTGGAGGTTTTTTTAGCGTATTGTGCGGTTGCGTCCGCCATTAACGAATTGATTCGTAATTGTTTCGTAATTGTTTTGTAATTTCCGAAATTTCATAAATTTTGAACTTTTTTAAAGAAAAATTTCGGAATTCTTTTAAAAATCGAAACGCAAAACCCCCCTAAAAACGAATGGAGTTTCGAAACAAATTTTTCCATGGTTGCCCAGCCCTATGAACTACATCTCCCCTAAATCACTGTCAATTCCTCCCATACCCCTCCAGTATTTTTTGTTTGACATGGGAGTTCTGTGTGGAGGTCTCAGTGGTCTGTGGAAGTCAGTGCTGAATTGGCTGAAGGTACTGCAAATCCCATCATCTGTTTTCCATACTCCCCCAAACATATTTTTTCTGATTAATCATGATGCTTTAATTATGTTGAATTTGTAACAATGAAAACACATCCTTCATATCAGATATTTACATTATGATTTGTAATAGTAGCAAAATTACAGTTATAAAGGAGCAACGAAAATAATTTTATGTTTGGGGGTCACCACAACATGAGGAACCATATTTAGGGGTCCCGGTGTTAGAAAGGTTGAGAACCACTGCTCTAGATGCATCAGTGGTGGATTCAGTGTGCTCTCTGGCTGTAGGGTAAGCTACAACTCCCACATGATGAGCCACTCCCCTCAAACCCCTCCAGTAGTTTCAGTGAGCCATGGGGGGTTCTGTGGGCCAAGTTTGGACCAGGCCCATCATCGTTGGAGGTAACAGTTTCTCTGGTTGTGGGTGAACTACAACTCTCAGAAAGGAAAGTGAGTTGCCCCCAAACCCCTCTTGGAATCAAATTTCAACATATCAGGTATGTGTGCCAAGTTTGGTCTCAATTAGCAAAACCCTCCTGACAGATGGCCATCCAGCCTTTGTTTGAAAACCTCCAGAGAAGGACACTCCACCTGATTCCAAGGCAGCATATTCCACTTTTCACTGACGCCACTCACTTTTGTTGTTGTTTTGTTTGCAGGTTTCCCAACGAACACCATGCCACCTGAGCCCTTGACTCCCACCTTGCAGATGTTCCTTTCCCCGCCCCAGGCCCTGATGGCCAACGAGACCACGCGAGGGGTCTTGCTGCTGTGGGAGCCCCCCTTCCAATACTCTGTGGGCCTGACTGGTTATGCACTGGAGCTGCGGCAAGACCAGGGAGGCTGGGAGGTGCTGGAGGGGTCCATCCCTGGCTCCGAGACACAGCTCCTGGTGCCTGGCTTAATCAAGGTTGGTGGGAAGCAGTGTGTTAGGAGGCCCATATATACGACTTGCATGGAGTGGGCAACCAATGCTGTTCATAGCACCACAGAGCTGGAAGGGACCCCCAAGGCTATCCAGTCCAACCCCCTTCTGCCAGGCAGGAAGACACCATCAAAGCCCTCCCAACAGATGGTCATCCAGCCTCTGCTTGAAAACCTCCAGAGGAGACTCTACTGGACTCCCAGATGGCATATTCCATTGCCAAACAGTGGAGCAGCAGTAAACAATGTGACACCTTTTCAAATATTTAAACACGTCCCCTTCTCTCAGCCTTCTTTTCTCCAAGCTAAACCTCTCCAGCTCCCTAAACCACTCCTCATAAGGCTTCCAAACCTAATTTTGGTCACCCTTCTCTGGACGTGTTTCAGCTTGTCCATTTCCTTCCTGAATTGTTTTGCTCACAACTGGGCACAGTCTTATTCCAAGTGAAGTCTGTCCAAAGCTGAATCAAATTGGTACTGTGACCTCCCTCAATTTGGAGACTAGACTCCTATCAATGTAGCCACAATCACATTGGCCTTGTTTGCTGCTGCATCACACTATTGGCTCATGTTCAGTGTATGGTTCAATGAGACTCCGAGATCCCTTTCCCTTGGACTGTTTACAAGCCAGCTTTCAAATACCCTATATCTGTGCATTTCACTTTTCCCTGCCTAAGTGTAGTCTCCCTATTGAAATTCATTGTGCTATTTATTTATTTATTTATTTATTTATTTATTTATTTATTTATATATAGCTTTTATATTCCGCCCTTCTCACCCCGCAGGGGACTCAGGGTGGATTACAGTGTACACATATATGGCAAACATTCAATGCCAATTTTTTACATACACACATATACAAACATACACAGAGCCTATTTAACTTTTTCTGGCCGCCACGCGAGCTGTCGCTTTCATCGTCCATCTGCGATGCTGATGAAGCACTTCCGCATTCCCCGCATGCTTCCCCGCTGGAATGCTTTGCTGGAGTCTTCTTTATGGCCTCATAAATCAGTTAATTTAGCCTCCCCACACCTTTTTTTAAGGTGGTACCTAATTTTCCTACTTGACAGATGCTACTGTCTTTCGAGTTGCAAAGGTCAACAACAGGCTACACACAATTGGTTGGAAACCCACTCTAACCCGGGCTGGCTTCGAACTCATGACCTTTTTGGTCAGAGTGATCTTAATGCAGCTGACACTCAGCCAGCTGCGCCACAATCCCGGTGCTAGTCTTGGCTCAGCTCTCATTTTGGATCCTAATCTCGTCCTTCGGGGTTTTAGCTATCCTTCCCAATTTGGTGCCATCAAATGATCAGCATGACTTCTATTCTGTCATCCAAGTTATTGACAAAGATGACGTGTGGGTGTTCAATGGCTTGCGTAGGTCTCTGCTTTGTGAGTACTGATTGTGCAAAATCAGATTTGTGATGCTGTTGCAGCAGAGATTTGCCTGCATTGCAACATCCTGGTGAAACACTACTAACGTATGTCTGATTCCTTTTTCCTTCTTGCGTCAAGGATGCCTTCTATGAATTCCGCCTGGTGGCCTTTGCGGGCAACTATATCAGTGACCCCAGCAATACAGTCAATGTTTCCACAACAGGTAAGGTCTCCCCCCTCCCCTTCCTCTTCTTTTTTGGAGGCAGAAAGTGAAGGAAAGACTGTTTGGATCCCAAAAGGGTTGGCCTTGGTCAAGATGCAGTGTTGGATGGGAGGGAAAAAGTATATCCATGAGACCCCATATTGCCTGTTGTTGTTATTCATTCGTTCAGTCGTTTCCGACTCTTCGTGACTTCATGGACAAGTGAACACCAGAGCTCCCTGACGGTCGTCACCACCCCCAGCTCCTTCAAGGTCAATCCAGTCACTTCAAGGATCCCATCCATCCATCTTGCCCTTGGTCGGCCCCTCTTCCTTTTTCGTTCCATTTTCCCCAGCATCATTGTCTTCTCTAAGCTTTCCTTTCTTCTCATGATGTGGCCAAAGTACTTCATCTTGGCCTCTACTCTCCTTCCCTCCAGTGAGCAGTCAGGCTTTATTTCCTGAAGTATGGACTGGTTGGATCTTCTCGCGGTCCAAGGCACTCTCAGAACTTTCCTCCAACACCACAGTTCCTCCACTCAGCCTTCCCTAAGGTCCAGCTCTCACATCCGTAGGTGACTACGGAGAATGCCATTGCTTTAACTATGCGGACCTTCGTTGCCAGGGTGATGTCTCTACTCTTCACTATTTTGTCAATATTGGTCATTGCTCTCCTCCCAAGAAGTGTCTCCTGATTTCCTGGCTGCAGTCTGCGTCTGCAGTAATCTTTGCACCTAGGAATACAAAGTCTGTCATGGCCTCCATGTTTTCTCCCTCTATTTCCTAGTTGTCAATCATTCTTGTTGCCATAGTCTTGGTTTTTTGTATGTTGAACTGCAACCCAGCTTTTGCGCTTTCTTCTTTCACCTTGATTAGAAGGACCCTCAGCTCCTCTTCGCTTTCGGCCATCAAAGTGGTATTATCTGCATATTTAAAGTTGTTAATGTTTCTTCCAGCAATTTTCACCCCAGCCTTGCATTCCTCAAGCCCTGCACATTGCATGATGTGATCTGCATACAAGTTGAATAGGTTGGGGGAGAGAATCCAACCCTGCCGCACGCCTTTCCCAATCTTGGACCAGTCAGTTGTTCCGTGGTCAGTTCTGACTGTTGCTCCTTGGTCCTTATACAGATTCCTCAGGAGAGAGACAAGGTGGCTTGGGATGCCCATCCCACCAAGAACTTGCCACAATTCATTATGATCCACACAGTCAAAGGCTTTATAATAGTCAATAAAACAGAGTTTTCTGAAACTCCCTGCCTTTCTCCATTCTCCAGCATCCGGATATTGGCAATGCGGTCTCTTGTTCCTCTGCCTTTTTTAAACCCAGCTTGTACGTACATGCGAAGGGGTCATTAAACTGCTGCCACCAATTTGCGAAGGAGCTCGGGCCCCAAATTCGGTAAGGGAGGTCTCAGGAGAGAGAAGTTTCGATTTATTATTTATTATCCTTAATGGTGCCACCAATTTGGTGATATGAGGTAATTTTGGGAGATTGGGCACACTAAACGCAGAATTAATGGAGATGAGGCAGTTTTACAATCAAAGAGAACAAGTTTATTTTGAAACAAAGCGTATGGTTGCAGTTTGGTGATAAACTTGGAAAATACTTGGAGAACGTTACATATAACTTGGTTGCGATACAGTTCAGTCTTCTGATGTTACAACTTATAAATAACCTTTGCTGTGGTGAAGCACTTTATTAAACAATGGTTCCTGAGGTGAATAGTCTTCCTGTTTGACCCTTCCGTGATCAAACCTCAGATCTCTAGTTCACTTTTAACTAGTGATCTAAACGAGCTTCTATTAGTCTTCTCTAACTAATAAAACTAATAAGGTTTCCCCTTCAGCCTTCCCGAACTGAAGAAACCTCCGACTATTCACAAACACTGCTTCTCTACTTCCCACTCTCTCTCTCTCAACTCTTCACTTCCCTGAGCCTAAACCTAACTCTTCATTTCTCTGAGTCTCAATCCTGACTCTTCATGACTGTGCACTCTTCTGAGCCTAAACCCTAACTCTTCATGACTCTTCACTCCTCTGAGCATGAAACCTAACTGACTTTTAACTGTCGCTTTTCAAAACTCCCCTCTCTAAGCTCCTCCCACTTCTCTACAGCATTGTTTCCATGGTAACACACTCCTCACAGCTAGGCCGCTCCAGCATTAGCATCGTTTCCATGGTAACACACTCCTCACAGCTAGGCCGCTCCAGCATTAGGGCAACCAGTGCAAACACAAATACAGTTATAATAATATCATTCACAATCAATACAGTTTATAATCATATCATTTACAATCAACTTCTGTACAGTACATCTGGCAACTCTCTCTCCATATCTTGCTGGAGTAAGCATTCCCTTACTGGCATGAGAAATAAGTACAGAAGTTTTAGCAGTCTTTAGCATTTCCCTTTTTTGGTATGGGATATAAGTTGATTTTTTCCAGTCTGATGGCCATTCTGATGACCATCACATCTGGGGCTAGTTGAGATGCCACATCACACCAATCTTACTACAGCTGCATTGGTTACCAATTGAGCACCGGATCACTTTCAAAGTGATGGTACTCACCTTTAAGGCCTTGCATGGTCTGGGGCCGATGTACCTGAGGGACCGCCTCACCCCCTCCCAACCCCAGAGATCCCTCCGTTCTGAGGACCAAGATCTATTGGAAGTGCCCAGTGTCAAAACCTTGCGTCTAATAGCAACCACAGCAGTGGCACCATCACTCTGGAATACTCTGCCACCTGAAGTCCGTGCCTTGAGGAGACTTATCAGCTTTCCGCAGGGCATGTAAGACATACCTGTTTCAACAGGCCTTTGATCTTTGATATTGCTGTTTTTAAATTGTTTAAAATTGTTTTTAGTGTTAGATTTTAGTCATTCTTGTAAGTTGCTCCGAGCCCCAGGGGATATAAGGGGATAGGGCATATAAGTTCGAATAATAAATAAATAAATAAACTTACCCTCTGCTCCTCCCCAGTAGCATTTTGGCCATCTTCCGACCTGGGAGTCCCATCTTCCAATGGCATACCAACATCTCTCTGGTTGTATTGCTCCATTTAGTTTTCTTGGCAAGAATACTGGGGTGGTTTGCCATTGCCTTCCCCAGGGATCACGCTTGGTCTGGCCTCTCTGTCACGACCGTCCTGTCTTGGGTGGCCCTTCACGGTTTTGCTCGTGACATCATTGAGGTGCTCAAGCTCCAGCACCACGACAAGGCAGTGATCCTTTGCTGGAGCCATATTGCCTACTTCTGATATATATTCCTACAATCCTAGAGCTGGAAGAGACCCCCAAGAGCCATCCAGTCCAACTCCCTGCCATACAGGAAGGCACAATCAAAGCACTCCCAATAGATAGCCTCTGCAGAAAAGCCTCCAGAGAAGGAGACTCCACCACACTCCTAGGCAGCCTAGGCCACTCTCCAGGAAGTTCTTCCTAATCCTTTCAGTTGAATCTCTTTCCCTGCCATTTGGACCCATTGCTCCCTCATGTCCTGCTCTCTAGAGAAGCAGGAAGTCAGTTTTCCTCCTCCTTCCTCCTCCCGAATGGGAGACCCTTTGAAATCTTGAAACAGGGTTCTCATGTTTCCTCTCTGCCGTCTCTTCTCCCAAGTAAACATCCCCCAGGAGGAAAGGAGGAAGAAAAAAGAGAAGGAAGGAAGGGTGGAAGGGAATGGAGGGAAGGAGGAAAGAAAGAAGGAAAGACAATAAGGAAGGAAGGAAGAAGAAAGGAAGGAGGGAGGGAGAAAGAGGAAGATTTGAAGGAAGGGAGGGAAAGAAAGAGAGAAGAAAGGAAGGATAGGATGGTGAGAGAAAGGAGGGCCTGAGAAAAGAACCCAAGGGGCTGCATCCAGTTCCCAGGCCTGGGTTTGCTCATACCTGCAGTAGAGTCTCGCATATCCGACCTTCACTTATCCGACATTCCGTCTTACTGGTTTTTTGTTTTGTGTATATTGTTTATATGCTTATATAGAATCATAGAATCAAAGAGTTGGAAGAGACCTCATGGGCCATCCAGTCCAACCCCCTGCCAAGAAGCAGGAATATTGCATTCAAATCACCCCTGACAGATGGCCATCCAGCCTCTGTTTAAAAGCTTCCAAAGATATGTTTTATATTTTAATGCTATATTGTTTATTTTATTGCAATTTGTATCTTATTTTATAGGAACTTGTTGTTTGGGCTTGGGGCGATGGTGGCGGGGTATAAATAAAGATTATTATTATTATTATTATTATTATTATTATTATTATTATTATTATTATTCTGCCAGTCCGTTTATGTCGGATAAGCCAGACTCTACTGTACTAACAGAGTCCTACTTTGCATTTGCTTCAATATTGTAGTCGTTGAACAACATAGAGTGGGACTATGACTTCCCTCGATTTGGACGCTATCTTCCTATTGATGCAGCTGAGAATCGCATTGGCCTTTTTAGCTGCAGCATCACCCTGTTGACTCATGCTCAGCTTGTGGTCTGCTGAGACTCCTAGATCCCTTTCACATGGATTCTTTTCAAGCCAGGTGTCAAACATACCTATCCCTCCACCATAGTTCCTTTTTCTTCCTCCCCCCCCCCCCACCCCCATTGAACATGGCTCTGCCACCTCTTTCTCTCCCCACCAGGCATGGAGGTGTACCCATCCCGCACCCAGCTCCCTGAGCTCCTGCCTCAGCCGGTCCTGGCTGGCGTGATTGGCGGTGTTTGCTTCCTCAGCACGGCTGTGATCTTCAGCACCATGGCCGCCTGCATCATGAACCATAGGCGAGCCGCTCGTCTCTACAAACGGAGGCAAGGTAAGGAGGCGGACGAAGGTGAGGAGAGCGAGGCAGCGATGGGATCAGGCGGAGCGCTTTGATAAAGGATTCCAAGAAACTTGAAGTCTGAGATTAAAGGGATTTGGGGAGATCATGGGCAGAAAAGGTTGTTTGTGGTATTAAGAGGATAATGGATGGATGGATGGATGGATGGAAGGAGAGTGAAAGGGAGGGAGGAGTTTGAGTGTATGGCTTTTAGGATGGATGGATGGAAGGATAGAGAGAGAAGTGAGAGGTAGGTAGGTAGGAAGGAAGGAAGGAAGGAAGGAAGGAAGGAAGGAAGGAAGGAGGGGGGGAGGAGGGAGGGAGGGAGGAGTTTGAGTGGATGGCTCTTGGGGCCTCAGAAGAAAGAAAAAGAAGGAAACAGAAAGAAAGGAAGGAAGGAAGGAAGGAAGGAAGGAAGGAAGGAAGGAAGGAAGGAAGGACAGAAAGAGAGAGAGGGGGAGGAGGAAAGGAAGGAAAGGAAGGAAGGAAGGAGAGAGAGGAGAGAAAAGGAGGAAGGGAGAAGGAAAGAAAGAAGAGAGGGGAGGAGAAAGGAAGAGAGAGAAAGGAAGGAAGAGAGAGAGGGGGGGAAGGAAAGGAAGGAAGGCAGGAAGGAAGGAGAGTGAAAGGGAGGGAGGAGTTTGAGTGTATGGCTTTTATGATTCCAGGATGGAAGGAGAGAGAGAGAGAGAGAAAGGAAGGAGAGAAGGAAGGAGAGGGGGGAGGGGGGAAGGAAGGAAGGAGAGGGGGGGGGGGGGGGGGGGGGAGGGGGGGGGGAAGGAGGGAAGGAGTGAAAGGGAGGGAGGGAGGAGTTTGAGTGGATGCCTCTGGGGGCCTCTCAATTTTATGATTCTAGGATGAGGAGAAAGGAAGAAAGAAAGGAAGGAAGGAGAAAAGATGGATGAAAGGAAGGAAAGAGGGAGGAAGAAGGAAGGAGGGAAGGGAGAAAGGGAAGGAGAGAGAAAAAGGAAGGAAGGAAAGGAAGGAAGGGGGGGAGGAAGGAGAAGGAGGAAGAAGGAAGGAAGGAAGGAGGAAGGAAGGGAATGAAGGAAGGAAGGAAGGAAGGTATTTGAGTCCCCCTTCCTTCCTTCCTTCCTTCCTTCCTTCCTTCCTTCCTTCCTTCCTTCCTTCCTTCCTTCCTCCGGGGTGAGAAGGGATTCTAGGATGGAAGGAAGGAAGGAGAGAGACGAAGGAAGGAAGGAGAGAGAAGAAGGAAGGAGAGAAAGGAAGGAAAGAAGGAAAGAGGGATAAAGGAAGAGAGAGAGAAAGAAAGAAGGGAGTTGGACTGGATGGCCCTTGTGGCCTCTTCCAATTCTATGATTCAAGGAAGGGAGGGAGGGATAGAAAAGGAAGGAGAAGAAGAAGGAAAGGAAAGGAAAGGAGAAGGAAGGGATCATTCCAGTTGGAGGGTTGTAGGAACTGTCATCCCAAAGAGTTTTTTTTCCAGTGGCTCGATGCAATGTCTTTCCTTTCAGTTTTCCTGTAAAGAAAGGGCTCTGGGGAGCGGAGTTCAAGCCATACAGTGCCTTGCAATGGGATTGTATGTTCAGTGCAGAACCAAGCACAGGTCCCTAAAGACAACTCCCACTCAAATATTATCTTGATAGGTTTGGGGCTATTGCTCAAGTGTGCAGGGGTGCAATTGGTTTGGTGAGACAAGAGGCAGCCCTTTCCCGGCGATGGGCTTCCCTTTTGGGTAAAGCCTATGGCAGGCCTGGGGCAATGGTCGGACAGGAGCCTCCTTGGAACCAGAGCAGACATTGGATGGGGGAAAGGGGCAATATTGCTGAAGCTGTTGAGCATGCGTCTTTGTGCACGTCTATATGTGCGTCTGTTTGTGGGTTACAGCCTGGCAGCCATCTCTCCGCTTTCATTGTGTTTTTCTTGAGTTGCTCTCCATATGATTTTCCCAATGTGTTCTCATGACCTTCCAGATGCATCCATCGTCTTCCCCCCCAACAAGAAGCTTCTGCCTTCACAGTAAGTCACGGCCATTGCATGACGCCTCCTTTCCTCTCTTCACGCCAGCTGCCCTTTTGCTTTGTGGCTTCCGCCCAAACTTCTTTTCACAGGCTACGAAGGAGGGCAGGCATGAGAAATAAGGTGATGTGTCTCCTTCCCTCTCCGTGCCGTTGTGGAAGAAGGTTGAGCCAGACCAAAGACTGTGATCATGTTTTCCCAAAGCATATGGCCCGATTTCAACCATATTGATATTGGTTGCAAGGTCCACGTCATTCCTATGCAGCCTTGCCATTTCCTTATCCAGAAAGTGGAAAAGAGAACTAGGGAACTATTCGGGATGTGGTCCTAAATTGCATAGATAGCAAAAGGGAATGGAAACAGTAGGATCCTTGAGTGGTCATTTTCCATATGCAGGGACATATACTTACAATAGGGTAAGCATTAATATTTATTTATTTATTTATTTATTTATTTATTTACGGCATTTATATGCCCCCTTCTCATCCCGAAGGGGACTCAGAGTGGCTTACAATATATATTTTCATACAATATATTATATTATTAGCATAGTACAATATCAGTATTGTATATTACATTATATTGTAATATTATTAGTAATTTTACATGTAATGTAAATATATAATTATAATTATACTATTGTATTATTATTACTAGTATTATATTGTATTACATTATAATATTATAAATATTATATGTATATACAATATACTATATTATATTATTAGTAAAGACAAGATGGAAGTGTCTTCTGCTCCCCTCTGGATTTATTTATTTATTTATTTAAATCCAATATGATATTAATGGGGGGGGGGGTTGCTGCATCCTCTAGGACGAAGAGCCCTTGATCACAGACTTCCTTCTTTCTTTGGTCGCCGGCATTTTTTGGTACTTCCATTTTATGGTGCCGTAAAATACCTCCCCGCTGTTAGGCTGGATCTACGCTGCCATAAAAATCAATGATCTGCTTTGAACTGGATTATATGGCAGTATAGACTCATATAACCCAGTTCAAAGCAGATAATGTGGATTTTTTTTCATGTCAGTAGTGACTTGAGAAACTGCAAGTTGCTTCTAGTGTAGGAGAATTGGCCGTCTGCAAAGACATTGCCCAGGGGATGTCCAGATGTTTTGATGTTTTACCATCCTTGTGGGAGGCTTCTCTCATGTCCCTGCATGGGGAGCTGGAGCTGATAGAGAAAGCTCATCCATGCTCTCCCCGGATTCACACCTGCAACCTGTCGGTCTTCAGTCCTGCTGGCACAAGGGTTTAACCCACTGCGCCACCTCCCCGCTTAAATGGTGCCTAATTTTTCTGCTCACAGCTGTTTTTGAACTGCTTAGGTGGACAGTGAGCTGGGCTGAAGGTTGGATGCTCACCTCAACCTGGACTTCGAACTGCCAACCTTTCAATTGGTATCTTATTCCTGCTGGTGATTAACCAGCTGTGCTAAAGCCCAGCCTGGATTTAATCTTATATTGAGGCAAAGTAGCTTCAGCACAACAAACAAACATTGTGGAGGTGAAACCAAGGCAAGAAAGAGTAACAGGCCCATCAGTGTATCATATTATGTTTATCAGTGTATCATATTTATGAGTCCCCAGTGGCGCAGTGGGTTAAACCCCTGTGCCAGCAGTACAGAAGACCAACAGGTCGCAGGTTCGAATCCGGGGAGAGGTGAATGAGCCCCCTCTATCAGCTCCAGCTCCTCATGCGGGGATATGAGAGAAGCCTCCCACAAGGATGATAAAAACATCAAATCATCCAGGCGTCCCCTGGTCAACGTCCTTGCAGACAGCCAATTCTCTCACACCAGAAGCAACTTGCAGTTTCTCAAGTCGCTCCTGACACAGCAAAGAAAAAGTGTACGTAGACTTGTATGATCTGTGTAAAGTTGGTGAGCCTGACTTTATTTATTTGGGTTTCCCCCCCTCAATAGAAACTCTACAGGCACTGCTAGCCCAGACAGCATTGTGAAGCTGAAATTGCAGATCTCTCCGTACCAGAGCCTTCACCGCAGCCTGCTCTGGGGGGAAGAAACGGACGCCAACCTAAGCCTCAACTTTGCCAGCTGCAACACAGGGAATAGCACCAAATATGCTCTCTATGAGAGCCATGTCGGAGAGCCACCGGCCCTGGAGCGCATCTGCCGTGGCCCGGATGGACGTTTCGTGGTGCAGAGCGAGGAACAATTGGGAGCCATGAGGGAACGGTATTCCGCGTCTTCAAAGGACAGTCCATGCCAGTTGGAGCCTTACCTGCAGACCTTCTCTCCCCTTAGATCCAAGGAAGCCGTCTGGCAAAAAGGGATTCACCTGCGGCCCAAGAACTTGAGCCGGGCCCATTGCGAAGCCAAGGCTTCAGGCTACCGGCAGGGCCATTACTTTGACTACAGCAGCAGCAGCCCGACGGAGGACGCGGAGCCGTTGTGTATTGTCAACATGAGTCCTGTCGTGTGCTTGTCTGCCGACCAAGAGGCCCGGGTCTCCGAAGAGCGCTTGGCGACGTCGGCGTCCTCTTTCTCCTCTCCAAAACCTTATTGCCGGCCTCAAAATAGTCAAGTCCAAATAAATACCTCGTCCCAAAGTGGTATCCTCCAGTACTTGAGTCTACCCATCTTCAAGGAGATGAACGTGGATGGCGATTGGCCAATGGAGGAAGAGGATGAAGAAAGTGAAGAAGAAGAAGAGGAAGAAGAAGAGGAAGAAGAAGAGGATGAGGAGCAACATTCAGAGGCAGACTTCCATGAGGTTTTGGGCGGCACTGAATCCGCTCTATTGCGAGACGAGGACCAAACGACTTGTCCAGCCTACATGGACATGCAAGTCGACTTAGACTCTGCTCCGAAATCCTTCCTCAAGCTCCCCAACACCGACGCAGGTCCGGCTAAAGCATCTTTACCTGGTTCCTCTGTTCGCCTGAGTTATATCAGTTCGCCCAAGGAGCCAGGGCCTCCGTTCCAGGTACGCTCACCCACCCATTCCCTTGCTGATGGCACCCCGACAGAGATGTTGTACGCAGCCAATTCCTCGGACCACAGCTGGCTCCGCTCGGCAGAGCCACCCCGAGAGCCGTTGCCCGCCGAGAGGCGCCGGCTGCCCCCCGAGACATTGCCGAGGGGGAGCTTGACTAGCCAAAGCAGTGGCCGTGGCAGCACCTCCTTCCTGCGCCCCTCTTCGCTGGCTCCCTCCTTGGCCAGCAGCTACCTCAGTTCGCCCTTGGCGGAAACGAGCCATTGGCACAACAGCTCCACAGGAGACGAGTGCAGGCCCAAAAGAGAACCATCCATTGTTGCCAACAATAAAAGGTGAGAGTGTTGGAAACAGCAGCCTTCCAATTTAACATTCTAGCTTTTCCAGCTTCGTGAGGGTATGCTCGATTCCGGCCACAGGGGGAATTGCCACTTCACCGTCCACTTGTGACATCGAGTCCTTGATGGAATACTTCCTCATTCTTCTGCACACTGATGGAAGGTTTTATGGTGTTGTAAATTACTTAAATTAGCCTCCTCACATAAACCGGTACCTAAATTTCCTACTTGAGAGATGCAGCTGTCTTTAGAGCTGCATAGGTCAACAGCAAGCTAGATCATCTGGGGAGGCCCTGCTCTCGACCCCACCGCTATCACAAGTGAGGCTGGTGAGGACGAGGAGCAGGGCCTTCTCAGTGGTGGCCCCCCACCTGTGGAACTCTCTCCCGGGGGAAATCAGGGCATCAACATCCCTCCTTGCCTTTAGGAGGAAGGTAAAGACGTGGCTATGGGACCAGGCCTTTGGGCATCCTGACAATTAGATATGGAAACCAGATGGATAGGACCGACAATGTATGGAAAGTAGAACCTAAACTATGAGTCTGTTAAATGCTGACCAGCAATGAGGTTTGTATTGCTTTTATTGTTTTAATTGCTTTTACGGGTTTTATGGTTGTTTTGCCGATAATAATTATTGCTTATGTTAATTGTCATCATTGCTATAATTGCTGTCGTTAACTGATGTTGTGTTTTTTTTTGTTTGTTTGTTTTTTGCTGTCATGTAATGCGGGCATCGGATTGTGCCTTGCTTATGTAAGCCGCCCTGAGTCCCCTCCGGGGTGAGAAGGGCGGGGTATAAGCGACTGTAATAAATAATAAATAAAATAATTATTAATGGTCAGGAGCTTACTCTGACCTGGGCTGGCTTCAAACTTATGACCTCTTGGTCAGTAGTGATTTAATGCAGTTGGCTACCAACTAGCTGCGCCACAGCCTGGTTCCTTAGCATTAGCATTGAATAGCATTGCAGCTTCAAAGCCCAGCTGCTTATATCCCCCTGAGAGGGGATATGATAGCCATGTATAAATATGTGAGAAGAAGCCACAGGGAGGAGGGCGCAAGCTTGTTTTCTGCTTCCTTGGAGACTAGGACGCGGAACAATGGCTTCAAAATACAAGAGAGGAGATTCCATCTGAACATGAGGAAGAACTTCCTGACTGTGAGAGCCGTTCAGCAGTGGAACTCTCTGCCCCGGAGTGTGGTGGAGGCTCCTTCTTTGGAAGCTTTTAAACAGAGGCTGGATGGCCATCTGTCAGGGGTGATTTGAATGCAATATTCCTCCTTCTTGGCAGGGGGTTGGACTGGATGGCCCATGAGGTCTCTTCCAACTCTTTGATTCTATGATTCTAGGTGTTAGCTGGCCCTGATTGTTTCCTGTCTGGAGCTCCCCTGTTTTTTGAATCTTGCTTTTTATTTACTGTCAGTGTTTATTTATTTATCGTGTCAGGGGCAGACCAGACATTTGCATTGCATTTTTAACAAACAGACAGACAAACATCATCATCATCATCATCTTTATTTGTATCCCGCCACCATCTCCCCAATGGGGACTTGAAGCGGCTTACATGGGGCCAAACCCGAACAAGAATTACAATGTAACAATACAAATTGCAATAAAATAAACAACATAACACAAAGTTTGCAAGCTTGGTAGTTGATTAAATGTCTTTTGACCAGTATCTGGCCACTTGGAGTGCCTCTGGTATTACTAGAAGAAGGTCCTCGATTGTGCATGTTGTCAAATTCGGATCTTGTATGCCCATTTTGGTTTGCCAGTTTGATTGTACCTCTTTGGTGTGGGAGGGGCTTCAGGCACAGGACTCCATTTTGTGTTCAGTTTGCACCAGACCTCAGTGGAGGTGGATGCAGGTCGCTGTTTGGACTTCAGTAGAGGAGTATGCTTTCAGACCTCAATAATAATAATAATTTATTTATTTTATTTTATTTACAGCTTTTATATTCTGCCCTTCTCACCCCGCAGGGGACTCAGGGCAGATTACAGTGTACACATACATGGCAAACATTCAATGCCAATTTTTGACATACAAACATATACAGACATACACAGAGGCTATTTAACTTTTTCTGGCTGCCAGGGGAGCTGTCGCTTTCATTGTCCATCTGCGACGCTGATGAAGTACTTCCGCATTCCCCGCATGCTTTTTTCTGGAGTGCTTGCCGGAGTCCCATTTTATGGCCTCATAAATTAGTTAATTTAGCCTCCCCACACTTTAAGGTGGTACCTAATTTTCTTACTTGACAGATGCAACTGTCTTTCGGGTTGCAAAGGTCGACAACAGGCTACACAATTGGTTGGAAACCCATTCCAACCCCGGCTGGCTTCGAACTCATGACCTTTTGGTCAGAGTGATCTTAATGCAGCTGACACTCAGCCAGCTGCGCCACAATCCCAGTTGGGAAAGGTGTACGGCAGGGTTTATACCTATTCAGCTTGTATGCAGAACACATCATGCGATGTACGGGGCTTGATGAATGCAAGGCTTGGGTAAAAATTGCTAGAAGAAATATTAACAACCTTAGATATGCAGATGACACCACTTTGATGGCCGAAAGCGAGGAGGAGCTGAGGAGCCTTCTGAAAAGTCAGTGCCCTGTAGATTCTGCAGTTTGCTGTATAGTTTGATGATATTGTCCAGCTGCCTGTTTACCTTCACATCTTGTACCATGGCTGGCATGTGACACACTGGGCAAGCTGTGCCAATGCAGTTGCCCACACATAATAAGTTATATTTATTATTTGTTGTATGGTGCGGCATTGAATATTGCCATAATCTGTAAGCCGCTCTGAGTCCCCTTCGGGGTTGAGAAGAACGGGATATAAATACAGTAAATAAAATAAAATAAAATAAAATAAAATAAAATAAATAATAAACGTTATTTATACCCCGCCACCATTTCCCTGATGAGGACTCGGAGCGGCATATATGGGGCCAAGCCCAAACAACATATTACATCAAGATAAAACCAAAACATAAACAACAAGCAACATCATAAAAATTACATAAAAAAATAAAATCAATAAAAAATAGCATTACAATAAACAAAAAACACAGACATAGTAAACAGTGGGTGAGCCACATGTATAGGATAAAATGTTAAAAACTATAATGAGATAAAAATAGGAGCAAGTTAATCATAAAATCATAAAAATACACAAGGTTGTGAAACTAAACTTCCCATTTGGGGGGGGGGTGTACTTATTATTTATTATTTATTTCCTTAATTTCTATCCCGCTCTTCTCACCCTTCAGGGGACTCAGAGCGGCGTACAACATACATCTAAGCAAAAATTCAGTGCCTCATTATACAAATCATATAAAACACTAGCTGTCCCCTGCCAGGCGTTGCTGCGGCCCAGTCTGTTGATCTGGAAAATAAAGTAATGAGAAAGAGTTGGTTTCTAATATATGTAATTTCTTTCTGCTTGTGGGTAAACAGTATTTCTTGCTGTTTCTTTGTCAGTGTTGATGTGGAGAGTGTCTGGTTTGCCCACCCTGGAACATGCAACATATCATTGTCCTTCTTTAAGGGTCCCTTTCGAATCTATGATACTGTATCTGCAGTTTCAAAGCCTGGCTGCTTCCTGTCTGGGGGAATCCTTTGTTGGGAGGTGTTAGCTGACCTTCATTGCTTAATGTCTGGAATTCCCCTGTTTGTTTTTTTTAGTGTTGCTCTTTATTTGCTGTCCTGATTTTAGATTTTTTTTTAATATTGCTGGCCAGATTGTGTTCCTTTTCATGGTTTCCTCCTTTCTGTTGAAATTGTCCACATGCCTGTGGATTTCAGTGGCTTCTCTGTGTAGTGTGGCATGCTGGGTCCAGGTTGGTTCATCAGATGCTCCGCTATGGCTGACTTCTCAGGTTGACTTAGTCTGCAGTGCCTTTCATGTTCCTTGATTCGTGTCTCGGCAATGTTGCTGTGTTTGGGGCTCCCTATGTAGACTTGTCCACAGCTGTATGGTATATAGTAGACTCATGTACTTTAAAATGGGGATAAAATAAAATACTTTCTCCTTTGGATTGTTTTCAGGAAGAACACATCCGTGGATGAGAGCTACGAATGGGACTCAGAACTCACCCTTGAGTCCGACCTGCTGAATGCTCTGCAGTTGTATCGGAATGAAAACCCCAAACGGCCAGTCTCCACCATTGAAGCGCATGAGTTGGAGAAGCAGAGTAAGCATTTATGGCAGTGGGTCTCAACCTGGGGATTGGGACCCCTGCGGGGGTCGTCAGGGAGTGTCCGAGGGGTCGCCAAAGACCATCAGAAAACACAGTATTTTCTGTTGGTCCTGGGGGATCTGTGTGGAAAGTTTGGTCCAATTCAGTTGTTGGTGGGGTTCAGAATGCTCTGTGATTGTAGGTGAACTATAAATCCCAGCAACTACAACTCCCAAATGTCAAGATTCTATTTTCCCTGAACTCCCCTAGTGTTCACATTTGGGCATATTGAGTATTTGTATAGAGATTGGTCCAGATCCATCATTGTTTGAGTCTACAGTGATCTCTGGATGCAGGTGAATTACAACTCCAAAACCAAAGGACACTGCCCACCGAACCCTTCCAGTATTTTCTGTTGGCCATGGGAGAACTGTGTGCCAACTTTGGTTCAATTCCAACGTTGGTAGAGTTCAGAATGCTCTTTGATTGTAGGTGAACTATAAATCCCAGCAACTACAACTCCCAAATGACGAAATCAATCCCCCCACGATCCCAACAGGATTCAAATTTGGGCGTATCAGATATTTGTGCCAAATTTGATCCAGTGAATGAAAATACATCCTGCATATCAGATATTTTTCATTACAGTAGCAAAAATACAGTTATGAAGTAGCAACAAAAATAATTACCACATATACTCGAGTAAATCCCAGCAACTACAACTCCCAAATGTCAAGATACTATTTTCCCTAAACTCCACCAGTGTTCACATTTGGACATATTGGGTATTCATGTAGAATTTGGTCCAGATCTATCATTGTTTGAGTCCACAGTGCTCTCTGGATGTAGGTGAACTACAACTCCAAAACCAAAGGACACTGAGCACCAAACGCTTCCTTTTCTGTTGGTCATGGGAGAACTGTGTGCCAAGTTTGGTTGAATTCCATCGTTGGTGGGGTTCCAAATGCTCTGTGATTGTAGGTAAACTATAAATCCCAGCAACTACAATCCCCTAATGACAAAATCATTTTTTTGAGTGAAGGACATACATTGGGTTGTTAGGTGTCTTGTGTCCAAATTTGGTGCCAATTCGTCCAGTGGTTTTTGAGTTCTGTTAATCCCACAAACGAATATTACATTTTTATTTATATAGGCAATTGGATGGTGAGGTAATAGAACAAGTAAACACCTTCCCTCACCTTGGAGTAACTTTCTCTGAGACTGGTTCTTGGACTTCTCATCACCAAAGGAGTGTCCTCAGGGCAAAGGCTAGCCTGAATCTAATACTTAAGCTAAAAACACATATTGTCGAAGGCTTTCATGGCTGGAATCACTAGGTTCTTGTGGGTTTTTTTCGGGCTATAGAGTCATGTTCTAGAGGCATTTCTCCTGACGTTTCGCCTGCATCTATGGCAAGCATCCTCAGAGGAACCCCACAAGAACCTAAAAACACATAGCTACCCAGGTACCCTAATCCCAATAATCAAAGTGTATAAAGCTAAGGTTACACCTATGCTTTTATATGCAGCAGAAGTATGGGGTTTAAGTTCCATCTCAGTAATAGAACAAGCACAATCCCAGCACTTGAGAAGCATACTGGGAGTAGATAAAAGGACCTCTGCTGCTCCAGTGAGAGCAGAACTGGAAATCTACACAACCAATGCACAGTCTAAACTTAGAGCGTGCAATTACTGGTGTAAAATCAATGTAATGGATTTTGCATAGAATTATGGAAAATATAGACCCCTGTCTGATCCCACAGCAAGCTGGCTTCAGAAAAGGCAAAAGCTGCACATCGCAAGTGCTGAACCTGACTCAGCACATAGAAGATGGCTTTGAAAGGCAGCAGATCAGAGGAGCTGTCTTCATAGACTTGTCAGCAGCCTATGATACTGCGAACCACCGCCTCCTCCTGAGAAAAATGTATAGTATCACAAAGGACGACCACCTCACCCGCCTCATAGGAAACCTGCTACAAAACAGGAGCTTTTTTGTTGAGTTCCAGGGCCAGAGAAGCAGATGGCGGAAACAGAAGAACGGCCTGCCTCAGGGGAGCGTGCTTGCTCCATCCATGTTCAACATCTACACAAATGACCAGCCACTGCCAGAAGGGACAGAGAGTTTCATCTATGCTGATGATCGTGCCATTACCACTCAAGCAGGGAGCTTTGAGATGGTTGAACAGAAGCTCTCCGAAGCTCTAGCGCTCTTACTGCCTATTACAGGGAAAACCAACTGATCCCTAATACATCTAAAACACAGACATGCGCCTTTCACCTTAAGGACAGACAAGCATCCCGAGCTCTGAAGATTACCTGGGAAGGAATCCCACTGGAGCATTGCAACACACCCAAATACCTGGGAGTCACTTTGGACCGTGCTCTGACCTACAAGAAGCACTGCCTGAACATCAAGCAAAAAGTGGGCGCTAGAAACAACATATACGAAAGCTGATTGGCACAACCTGGGGATCACAACCAGACACAGTGAAGACATCTGCCCTTGCGCTATGCTACTCTGCTGCTGAGTATGCATGCCCAGTGTGGAACACATCTCACCACACTAAAACAGTGGATGTGGCTCTTAATGAGACATGCCGCATTATCACAGGGTGTCTGCGCCCTACACCACTGTAGAAATTACACTGCTTAGCCGGTATTGCACCACCTGACATCCGCCGGGAAGTAGCAGCCAATAGTGAAAGGACCAAGGCAGAGACATCTCCAGCTCATCCCTGTTTGGGTATCAGCCAGCACGTCAACAACTTAAATCAAGACATAGTTTTCTTAGATCTACAGAGACACTCGCTGGAACACCCCAGTAAGCGAGAGTCCAAAAGTGGCAGACCCAAACCCAGCACCTCAATTCATGGGTGATACCAAATGAGAGACTCCCGCCTGGGCACACAGAAGACTGGGCGACTTGGAAGGCGCTGAACAGACTGCGCTCTGGCACCACGAGATACAGAGCCAATCTTAAGAAATGGGGCTACGGGGTGGAATCCTCGGCATGCGAGTGCGGAGAAGAACAAACCACAGACCACCTGCTGCAATGCACCCTGAGCCCTGCCACATGCACAATGGAGGACCTTCTTGCGGCAACACCAGAGGCACTCCAAGTGGCCTGATACTGGTCAAAGGACATTTAACCAACTACCAAGTTTGCAAAATCTGTGTGTTTTTTTTTTCTTTTTCTTTTTAATGTGTTTTTTTTTGTTCTGTTAGAATTGTAACACAATGGTATGGTTGCTGATGACACGATAAATAAATAATAAATAAATGTAATGGAGCCTGATAGACTCCCAAAATTGTGCCTACTAGAACAGATAAAATCCCAACTACCGACCTCCTGGATTGCACAACTGACAGATTATATAAGAAGTTGTGGGCTTCCTGTCTCCTGCGCCTCAAATGACCAAGTCTGAAAGGCTGCTATACAAAGAATTTTGGATATAGAAGCACAAAAAGATATAGCCACCCTCAGTAAGACTGCTAACCTAAAATGGCTGAGTCAATATAAACGTACCTTTCAAACTGCTAATTACCTAAAAATGCAAATACCAAAACATCTCAGAGAGGTATTCACGCGAGCCAGATTTGATCAGCTCGAGACAATGGTTAGATACGGGAGATTTAACAGCATCCCTTATAATGAACGGAGTTGTATTTGCGGGGCACCTGAAATTGAGGATATAGCACACATATTATTTGATTGCAAATTGTATCAAAAGGTGAGAGACTTCCACCTTGGTCCATATATCAAACGGACAATGTATTGGGATTCCCACATCAGAACAACATATTTTATGTGTGGCCAAGACCCAAAAATAACGTATAAAACAGCTCTGTACTTAAGCAAAACAATACGTCTGAGAACCACATATGTAGGGCTGATTGGGGTAAATAGTAGGGGTGATAATGAAATATGATGTATATACTCAGCTTGATCAGTTTATCCGTTTCATCATGTCTTATCATATGTATTTACTGTATTCTTATAAGTGTCTTATTTTAACTTACTACGTGGAGTGTGATCAGGTCTTGTCAGGCCTTGTTGTTCTGTTTCTTATTGTGATATGGCCGAAGGGCTAATCAATAAAAATACTACTATTTATATAGCTTTGGGTCACTCCTTCTCCCTTTGAATCTGTGTAGTAACTCCATGAAGCAGGTCAGGCTGAGATCTGAACATGAATCTACTAAATCCCAAACTTGCAGACTAATTTTACTGTTGAAGACAACGGTACCTTCTTATTAGGCTTGGGTAACCACGGAAAAATTTGGTTCTAAACTCGTTTTGTTTTTAGGGGGCCCTTGCATTTCGTTTTTTTTTTTTTTAATAATTCCGAAATTTTCCTTTTAAAAATTTCGAAATATACGAAATTTCGTATAATTACGAATCGATTCGTTAATGGTGGGCGCGATTGCGCAATATGCTAAAAAAAACTCCAAATGGGACAGGAGGAACTTCTGAAGCTTCCCTCTCCCTCTGTTGTTGACTGTTGGTGGGATAAAACAAACAACAACTATAAAACTTGCACCAGACATGCGAAAATAATTACGAAATAATTACGAAATAAATTGAAAAAATTGTTTCGAATCTAATTTACTCCTCACACTATTCCTGCATGGCTCAATATTGGATCGTAAGCTAATTTAAATACGAATTAATAACGAATTACGAAATTAACGAACGAAACCGCCCAAGCCTACTTCGTATATGCCTTGACCACGTCTCTCTTTCCTCTGCAGGTTCAAAGACCACCAATGAAAGCAATGGCTCGCCCTCCAATTCCCAGTCGGCGGGGGCCCTGGACTGGCCCCATTCACCGGAGGCCTTGCCGAGTCCCGAGGAACGCTGTGCCGCACTGCGGGAAGAGTTTCTGGCCTACCGCCAGCGCCGGGAAGCCACGCAACAACGTCGCCAGAAGCTGGCTTCGAGCAGGAAGCAGAGGGATGAGCGACTGGAGCAGACCACTTTGCTATGAAGCACCACTTGGACATGTTTTCCCCTCATTGAGACATGCGTTTGTGTGTCGCTGTGCCGTCAAGAAGAGACACTTTGGCTGTCCTATTGTGGAGAGCTGCTCCTCAGGCGAACTCACGGCCTCCGAGAGTGGTGGAGGCTTTTAAAGCACAGCCGTTGTCGGGAGGGCTTTGATTTGCCTTCCTGCCTGGCAGAAGGGGGTTGTGGGCTGGAAGACCCTCCTATTGTAGGTCTATTATCTTCTTTTTGGGGATTGTAAAGCAAAGACTGGATGGCCATCTGTCGGGAGGGGTTTGATTGTGTCTTCTTATATAACAGGGTTGGTCTGGATGGCCCTTGGGAGTCTTTCCCAAGTCTACAAATCTCTATGAACTGCATCAAAAACACTAGGAGAAGTTTTCTGATTAGGCGGTAGATAATGGGAGCCCTAGGGCATCCAATCATGTTGGGAGAAAGTTTGTGGAAACTACTGTTTTAAAGGTGTGGGGCTGGGGTTTGCTGTTTTTTTAAATATATATATATTTGAAAAAGTTCTGCTAAGTGCGGTTTTGTGTGAACTGGAATGCTATCAACATGGGAACTGGGTTGCTGTGAGTTTTCCGGGCTGTATGGCTATGTTCCAGAAGGCAAGTCTACATAGGTAAAGGTAGTCCCCTGACATTAAGTCCAGTCATGTCTGACTCTGGGGTGTGGTGCTCATCTCCATTTCTAAGCCGAAGAGCCAGCGTTGTCCGTAGACACCTCCAAGGTCATGTGGCCGGCATGACTGCATGGAGCGCCGTTACCTTCCCACCGGAGCGGTACCTATTGATCTACTCACATTTGCATGTTTTCGAACTGCTAGGTTGGCAGAAGCTAGGGCTGACAGCGGAAGCTCACGCCACTCCCCGGAATTGAACCTGCGACCTTTCGATCAACAAGCTCAGCAGCTCAGTGCTTTAACCCACTGTGCCACCGGACCCCCAAATAATAATAATAATAATAATAATAATAATAATAATAATAATAATAATGTATATACTCGAGTATAAGCCTAGTTTTTCAGCCCCCTTTTTAGGCTGAAAAAGCTCCCCTCAGCTTATACTCAAGTCAAGGTTATTTATTATTTTACTCTATTATTATTATATTTACATTATTTTGCTCTATTCTATTTATTATCTTATTCTATTATTATTATTACATTTACAGTATTTTACCCTATTATTATTATTATTATTATTACATTTATTATTTTAATCCATTTATTATTATTATTATCATTACATTTACAGTATTTTACAGCAACATATTACAGCAATAAAATCAAAACATAAACAACAATGACAACATCAACAAAGTACATTAATAATAATAATAATAATAATAATAATAATAAGCAAAAAAGCTGTCATAAAATAACATTCTAATAAATACAATCACGATAACAATAACAATGGGTGGGCCACATGTATAGGATAAAACAATTTTAAAACTGTGATGAGATAAAAAAAGGAGCAAGACATTTACGGGGATTTATGAGGTTGAACTTCCCATTTGGGGGCGTGAACTCCATTAACAGAAAAGCATTGAGGGGTGCAAAATGTCATGGTGTGCCAAAGGTGCAGCAGAAGAGCCAGGTTTTAAGGTCCTTTTTAAATGTTTCTAGTGAAGGGCTTTCCTGATCTCTCCAGGTAAAGAGTTCCAAAGTCAGGGAGCCACCGAGGAGAAGGCTCTCTCCCTTGTACCCACAAGACGGGCTTGTGAGATTGGTAAAGGTGACAGGAGGACCTCCCCCGAAGATTGAAGGGCCCGGGTTGGTACATGGAGAGAGATGCAGTCATGAAGGTAGGCAGGTCCCAAACCATTTAGGGCTTTATTGGTGATGACCTGTACCTTGAATTGGGACCGGAAAATAAATGGCAGCCAGTGGAGCTCCTTAAACATGGGAGTCGAGCGCTCCCTGTAACTAGCCCCAGATACACTGTTCTACAAATTTTCAGTTTTTCACAGTTATGGAAACGAAATGTTCCGTTTCTTAATAAATTTAACATGCTGAATTCAAATATAATAATTAAATGTGTTAATTGGCTCTGGTTTTTATGCAACAGCTATTTCAATTTTCTCCACAATAGGTAATTCTTTAATAATTATGATAATGCACCTAACCTTACTGCATGTATATAAACCGTGAATATTTACTAAATTTTAGTCAAATTATATTGCCAATAGTTTATACATGAGAAATATTTATTTAATTAGTCTATTGTTTATGTTTGTGCAGCAAGAAACTATATTAGTAGGCCTAATGCAGTTGAAAAGTCTGAAAGTTTAAATGTCGCTTTAATCGTGACTTTAGTTTATATCCTGTTTGCTTCTCTTGACTTTTCTTGTGTATTCAAGGAAAGGATTCCTTCTTACAATGCTCCAGCAGGAGTCTGACAGCATTGACGGAGTCCATTTACCTTGATATCTTTTTTCCATAGTGCTTTATTTACACACGTGCGAGGCATAACTACAGTAAAAAGAACAATGTAAAACGATGTTTAACGATACTGTCTCAGTCTTCAACTGACTGACCCTCACCGTTCAAAAATCTGGCCTTATATAGGGCTTTCTGGCTTTGGCACATGGCACTAATACTGCGTCATCAAACTTTCTAGAGTATTCTAGAATCTTCCATAGTGTAAGTCGCAACATGCATTTTTTCAACCATACATGATCACGTGATTGCTTATATCATAAAAACTAGAGCCAATATACATTTTAAAATGTCATTTTCGTTTTCAGCACCCCAAAATCATAAAAGAACAGCTATTTTCAGGCCCGAGACTTTTTCTCCGTTGAACAGTGTTATTAATCTGGCTGCCGAGCGTTGGACAAGTTGTTGTTTCCGGGCCGTCTTCAAGGGTAGCCCCATGTAGAGAGCATTATAGTAGTCTAGTCTAGAGGTAACTAAGGCATGGACCACCATGGTCAAGTCAGACTTCCCGAGGTATGGTCGCAGCTGGCACACAAGTTTTAACTGTGTGAAGGCCCAATTTATTTATATTCTGCTTTATCTCCCTGAGGGGACTCAGAATGGATTACAGTACAGGCAAACATCCAATGTCTGTTAACAATGACATACAATATTTATTTATTTACTGTATTTGTATACCGCTTTTCTCAGCCTATCGGCGACTCAAGACGGTTTCCAACAAAACAGTATACATAATATCATAATACAGATTAAAACATTAAAACAGTATAAAACACAACAAAGGCAATAAAAAACAACATCATTAGCGTCTCCTTATAATCAAGCATTGTCCAGTTCCATCGTTAAGTCGTTAGATTTCCTCTATCAGTTACTTTGCATTTGTAAACGCTTGCTCAAATAACCATGTTTTAATTTGCCTCCGAAACGTTAAGACGGAAGGAGCAGATCTAATCTCCCTAGCGAGGGCGTTACATAGCTGAGGGGCCACCGCTGAGAAGGCCCTGTCTCTCATCCCTGCCAGACGTACTTGTGATGAAGTCGGGACCGAGAGCAGGGCCTCCCCGGACAATCTCAAGGTCCTTGATGGTTCATAAGGGGAGATGCATTCAGACAGGTAAGTTGGGCCAGAACCGTTTAGGGCAGTGTTTCTCAACCTTCCTAATGCTGCGACCCCTTAATACAGCATCTCATGTTGTGGTGACCCCCAACCATATTGTTGCTACTTCCTAACAGCAATTGTATTACTGTTATGAATCATAATGAAAATATCTGAAATGCAGGATGAATTTTCATTCAGTAGACCAAATTTAGCACAAATACCCAATAAAGGATCTCCATGCAGTCATGACGGCCTTGGAGGTGTCTATGGACAACACCAGCTCTTCGGCCTAGAAATTGAGCACCAACTCCCAGACTTGGACACAACTAGACTTAATGTCAGGGGAAAACTTTTACCTTACCTTACCCAATATGCCAAATTTCAATACTGGTGGGGTTGGAGGGAGAATTGATTTTGTCGTTTGGGAGTTGTAGTTACTGGGATTTATAGTTCACCTACAATCAAAGAGCATTCTGAACCCCACCAACAATGGAACTGAACGAAACTTGGCGCACAGAACTCCCATGATCAAGAAAAAAATACTGGAAGTGTTTGGTAGGCATTGACCTTGAGTTTTGGAGTTGTAGTTCATCTGCATCCAGAGAGCACTGTGGACTCAAACAATGATTGATCTGGATCAAACTTGGCACGGATACTCAATATGCCCAAATGTGAACACTGGTGGAGTTTGGGGAAAATAGACCTTGACATTTGTGAGTTGGTAGTTGCTGGGATTTATAGTTCACTTACAATGAAAGAGCATTCTGAATCCCGTCAATGATAAAATTCGGCCAAACTTCCCACATAGAACCCCCATGACCAACAAAAAATATTGTGTTTTTTGATGGTCTTTGGTGACCCCTCTGACACCTCCTCGTGACCCTCTCAGGGGTCCCGACCCCCAGGTTGAGAAACACTGGTTTAGGGCTTTATAGGCCAAAGCCAGCACTTTGAATTGGGACCAGTAGCAAACTGGCAGCCAGTGGAGCTGGCACAACAAGGGGGTTGTATGCTCCCTGAGAGCCACTCCTGTTAGCAACCCGGCTGCTGTCCGTTGGACTAGTTGAAGCTTCCAGACAGTCTTCAAAGGCAACCCCATGTAGAGCGCGTTGCAGTAGTCTATACGGGATGTAACCAGAGCGTGGACTACTGTGGCCAAGTCAGACTTCCCAAGGTATGGGCAGAGCTGGCGCACAAGCTTTAATTGTGCAAATGCTCCCCTGGTCATTGCTGAAACCTGGAGCCCCTGGTGGCACAGTGGGTTAAATCCCTGAGCCAGCAGGATTGAAGACCGACAGGTCGCAGGTTCAAATCTGGGGAGAGGCGGATGAGCTCCCTCTATCAGCTCCAGCTCCTCATGCGGGGACATGAGAGAAGCCTCCCACAAAGATGATAAAAACATCAAAATCACCCGGGCGTTCCCTGGGCAACGTCCTTGCAGACGGCCAATTCTCTCACACCAGAAGCGACTTGCAGTTTCCCAGGTCACTCCTGACACGACTCCCCCCCCCCCAAAAAAAAACCCCGCCGAAACATGAGGTTCCAGATTCAGCAATGAGTCCAGGATCACACCTAAGCTGCGAACCCGAGTCTTCAGGGGGAACGTGACCCCATCCAATACACCAGGGGTCCTCAAACTAAGGTCCGGGGGCCAGATACGGCCCTCCAAGGTCATTTACCCAGCCCTTGCTCAGGGTCAACCTAAGTCTGAAATGACTTGAAAGCACACAACAACAACAATCCTATCTCATCAGCCAAAAGCAGGCCCACACTTCCCATCGAAATACTAATAAGTTTATATTTGTTAAAATTGTTCTTCATTTTAATTATTATATTGTTTTAAAGTGTTTTTTGCACTACAAATAAGATATGTGCAGTGCGCATAGGAATTCATTCATGTTTTTTTTTTCAAATTAAAATCTGGTCCCCCAACAGTTTGAGGGCCTGTGACCTGACCCTCTGTCTCAAAAGTT